TTAATTAGCACTATGCAGACAATAGTTCTGAAATGGCTTGGCAGATTTGGAAAAAAATGTGTGGGTGAGGGGCTTATTGAGGATGCTGAATCCATTTATGACATTTGCAGGATCTAAAATGGCAGTTTTGGCCAGAAAGTGGCCATATTTTCTCCCGGTTGGAGACATAAAATTGCACACTAAGGCTTATATGTTCCAACCTCATGCAATCCCCAAACATAAGAAGCTCTGAATGATTTAGATGGGATGGATAATTCCAGTGCCTGCTGCACAGTGTCTCATTGTTTCAGAATAAGGAAACTGGATCCTGTTGGTTGACCGTGAACAGCCTGCAGGGGAGTCTGCAGCCGTTACACCCGAGACACCATCATCTGAGTTTCCTGAAACACACAGCTGTGAAGCATTGGGCTGTTTCTACCTCCACACCATGCGTGGACTGTTTGGACTCACTTAATGCAGTTAACTGTAGTGTTAACATGCAAAGTGGATCATCAAACACAGGCAGGATCAAACACAGGCTTTTCCTAACTTTATTGTCTCTTTGAGAGGGCCCTCTGGCCTGCCAGGCCCCTGGATGATCACTGAAAAGAGGGAGAAAGGCTCTTAGCAGCAGCTCATCCACCCACACCTCCAGCATCACCTGTGCAGCAACAAACATGGCAAGCTCCATGGCAACAAGGCCAGCACACCACAAAGCAACAGAACACTCCAAATGAAACAGCCAGACACCCACACTGACATCACACAGGGGAGGGGGGGGGGAGATATCTCTGTCAACCATCATCAGGTTACCAGGGGGCTCTGACAGCCTCTTCCTGTCTGTTATCATGCAGATTTGCGTTTGGTTTTTTGTTCTATTATCTAACACCCTTAAAAACAGAGTTCACTCTCAAACTGCTACTGTACATGAACAGGGACAACCAACACTTATGTATGTTGCTTATGTAATATTATCTGTATGTTATGTCTTCCCTGATTAAATAACTGTGTCTTCAAATGTATTTTTGATTAAATATGTGCTGTTTGAGTCTTCCCTGAGAAATGCTGCTTTTCATTCCTTGTTGACACCTGAACACAAGATGGCAGCAGAGCATCAGAGACATGAGACGCCATGGAGCATGAAGAAGGACGGTCTCTGCATCTGGGAACATGTTGGAAACCATGCAAAAAAGAAAATTAACTCTCTCCTGTGTTTTATATTAACTTATTAAAAAACTGCTAACGTTAGGCTATGAAGGAACTACAGCACGGTCACGTCACCACCGCTAAGCTAAAGGCGGCCAATGTTGGACTATATAAAGGTAATAGTATGGACACATGTTTGTTTGTTTTTGTGCAGTTCATTTATTTTTAGGGACATTTCATATCAATAAAAACAGCTGGGCTGACTCCAAACCAAATTGTTAACATTTATACCAAGAACTAAGACAATATCTTTTATGGAGTAAAACTGTTTCCACCCTGTCAGCTGTGTGAGGGGAGAGCCCCAGGGAGCACCTGAACTCATCATGAGCTGTGCCTCGGTGAGGTTAACGTGTGTTTTTTCTGATGTTGACCTGAAGTGACCTGGGGCCAGTTTTGGAAGAAGTACTCAGATCCTTTACTTAATGAAAAGTACTAATACTAATACTTCACTAAAAGTAAAAGTTGTGAGCTAAATAACAGTGAAAGTACTTGTTTATCAGAATGGATCTTTTCACAGTATGATAGTAGGGTTTTTTATACATAAAAGAGCATTTTAGTAGTGGGTTGAAATTGTGTATATTAGTAGTACGGTACTGCATTAAACCACATCAGTAGTATATGCAGTATATGTTATTATTATGCGTACAAAGTAACTACTAAATGTGAGTGTTAAAATAAATGTAGTGTAGAGTACTACAAAGTACGATATCTGAGAAGCTTTCAATGTAAATACTTAAGGAAAGTACAAAACATGAGTAAATGTACCTGCCTGGGGCACAACACATGTCTGAGGTGGGAGGTGGGGGGCACAATGGTCCTGTGGGGACAGGCTGTAATGAATTTAATTGGAGAGTCAGATCAGCGTGTGAACACATCAGCAGCTCTGGGGATTGAGTGATGGCTGAGTTTGATTTACTGATACTAACCTCCTTTTCATTTCATACGACAGCTGACTGTTGCTGGTTCCTGGTAGGGTGTCTTATCTCACTTCTGATGGCACATCAATCACAGGTCTGGTCCCCCTATTCTTCCTAGAGGTAGGGAAGATGTTTGTTGTTTTTCACAGTAGCCTACTTCCTTTTTTGAAATGCCCACTGATAATATCCTGACAGTCGGGTGACTCAGTGAGCAGTGCAACCTGGGAGACAGGAGACAACAAGCTGACTCCAGAGCAGCTCAGCAATTATGAATGCACATGGGGCCGGTGGTTATCTGTGGAGCGCCAGTGACATGAATCATCTTCACAGGAGAGCCTGAAACCACTGAGGATTAAAGAATGTGGAATAAATTATGAAGTCAAGACATAATGTGACTTCTGAATATTATATATGGCTATTTACAGGAACACATTTCCCTTATATTCATTTTACTTCTCTGAATATCAATCACTGATGAACATTTACACACTGAATTCTGTTCGAGAACATTTTGAATTTTGGTAAACAGAACCCCAATATCATTGAGATGTTTCCCTCAACAGGAGTTGATCATGTGACCTGTGATTCATCACCCCTCTCTCTGGTCCCAGATTAACTCTAATCTCATTTACAGCAGGTCATGTGACTTTGTGTGGCTGCAGGCCAACCTCACGTTTGTCCACTGGGAAGAAAAACAATACAACGTAATAGATATATCATAATTATAATGAATTATAAGTCCAAGGACGGTTATGTTAACCCAAACAATTGAACTGGTTTATCCCAGGAAACATTGAGGAAATGACAGGTGTGTAAATGCAGTGTCAGCACATCTGACCCTTTAAATGAACAAAATTAAGTGTAAATCGCTCTGGATGAAGGTGTCAGCTATAGTGTTATATACATAGTTATGATAAGCGAACATCGTGTGAGTGTAGGGTTTAAAAATTCAGCACTCATTATGGATCTGATCATGTATAATGCGAAAAAGGCAATGATAATATGTTCGCCGCATGTGAAATTGGAATATATTAATCTTGTCTCAGACCACAGCACTGACCGATGATGTAATCACATTGTGTTTGTACCTCTCACTGATCAGCTGCTGGGGGGGGGGGGGGGGATTAGCTGCTCCTCTCTGAGCTGCAGGTGGAGTCTGATGTCTCACTTTAGCCGCCACACACTAAGAGGATTTACCCAGACGGGAAGGGGTAAAAATAAAGTCTCCATCAGCTCTCTTTCTATCCACAAAAAACTATCCAATTATTCTCCAGCAAAGATTATGTTCTCTTTTTTTTCTGTCTTTAAAGGTATTTTAACATTGAGTGGCAAAACAAAACCCCAGCTATAAGTAAATGAAGGTATTAAAGGCAGTAAAAGAGGTATATGATCAGTTGTAGACCAATTTTACTAGGGATTCAGCGCGACAAAATAATTGTTACATTTTCAATTCAGTATAAAGCCACAAAAAACACACTATCAGAAATGGTATCATCATATCTTTTTTTTGTGCAGGGGGGCCATAGGGGGTTCCAAGCTCAGTGTTACTAGGGCACCGGCCCCCGTGCCCCCCCCCCCCCCCCCCCCAGAACCGCCCATGATTGTGTAAAATCCAAAACATGATGTTGTTTTGTGCCATGATATTGATATAACACCGATGAAAACTCAAGCTGGCTGATTCTCAGGTTCTAGAAAATTATTCCCCCCCCCCCCCCCCCCCGGGCAGGAGGAGCTCCTCACAGCGGGGGGGGGGGGGGGTTTGTCCACAGCGTCAGCAAGATCTCTGAGTGCTCAGCAGCCTCGGGTTTGATGTGACATGATGGGACTGAGCTCAGTCTGACTTCTCACCACACTCTGAACGGACTCACATTCAGGTACGTTCCCACGGTAACAAGTGATTGATTTGAATGTTTCTGTGCAGGTACAAGAAGAGAAGCTGTGAAGAGCTTAACGAGTCAGGAAATCTACTTTTAGCTGGAGTAATCTGGACACAAGGATTTCAGTGAAGAGCTAGGAGTCATGGTGATCTACTGTGAGCTGTCACTAACACTGTCTGCTGGATATGAGACAGTGATGAGTGACATGTGAAGAAGCCAGCTTTACCTATGTGTTGTCTTCCCGTCAACAACTTTTGTTCTTTGAAGTAACTTAGACCCAGATTATAGGGAGGTAAAGAGAGAGTCTGGAAATAATGTAAAAGGCACTGCAGTATTTCTACGTCATTATCAGATGTGAATTATTACCATTATATCAATGCTAGAATTCTGAGGTTACAGTAATTGTCAATATTGTTATGTCTGTATTGCTTTATAGTTATTAGACTACTATGGAACCCAGTCCACTGTATTTCTATAAAGCAGTTTGTATTTATATATGACCACCAGGCTATGAAGATATTGACACTGTCATAATCAGCAAAATAACATTTAATTTCACTTTAATAACTCACGTTGGGTTATGAAAGCCACATGCAACGCTTCACATCTGCACTGAAGTGAGTTTAAAATGTATCGATGGTATTAATAATCACCTGTCAAAATGTGAACTGACACTTGCTTCGGACACCGTTGTTGCGGTGGCTACACCACAGAACACAGAATCCTGAGAAAGCAGGAACTAAGTATGCGGACAATATGACACAAGGATACCAAAGAGAAGCTTCAAGAACACAAATGATACTGATCGTCTGTCAGTCTATAATTCCAAACATGTCAGTCTGTAAGAAGAAGGTGAATGAGTGCAAACAGAGAAACAGATGACCATAACACCTTTTATAACACAGGCCTTCTGGTTGATTGGACGTTCCCACACCTGTATCTTGTGTTGTTTTCGACACTGTGTATGTGAGCTCACCCCCCCCCCCCCCCCCACTTTTTCCTGCTCCATGTGTGCAGGCTGATGGACGCCCAGGACCAGACGCCTATAGTGAGGACAGGACTGCTGGCCAGGTGAGTCTCACTGCACTGCATAAGTGAAGGGAAATTATTTATAATGATCCTAAATCTGTTTATGAAGTCTCTACGGTGCTTCACCCAGGTTTTACTTTACGACTTAAACACAACGACAATTTGCTCTCATTTAGCCATGGAGAGCAAAGTATACGCATATTCAAATGAGACAATCCTTCTTGAAATGTCCTGTTTGAGCATAGGAGTGAATATCTGATTTATTAACCGCACTCACCAATATAGTGTGTCCTTATTATGTATAATATATATTTTTCTATTCCCAGGCTGTCCCACATGATGCACTTTGGGGGGAGCAGCGTGGGCCCTGCAGAGGAGAACATGAGGAGCAGGTGAGTGGGAGGGGCCTTTCACTCCATACTCACACTCACTATAGGAAACACCTCACTGTGTGTAGCGTCCCTTGGCTCACATCATGATGGCTTTGCTTGATATATTTGTGGTTCGATCACTGCGTCCAAGTGGGGAGGAAAGGCGAAGAGAGGATACATGTGTTCCATGTTCCCGACACAAGGTTGCATGAAGTAACACACCATTATTCCAGGGATTGAGAATGAACCAAGAGAAGCTGCTGTACATTAAGAAATATCTGAGCAAAGTGCCTAAAGTAATTTGTGTTCAAACACATTAAAACACTCTGAATCAGTCATTGTTTCTCCCCGGACAATGCCTGTACTGTACCTGGGCTGAGCCTGGTGATAGAGGATTAAGGCTATTTAAATATATACATATGTAGACTAGACACCAAGTGGAAGTTCATTTATCAGAAATCATAGTGTGTCATTTCACATATATGCAGGAGTGCAGTGTGAGCCATGAGTTGGTAATATATTGCAAACCTTGTTTGTCCACCAGTGATGGTCGGTTGGCGTTGGCTGCCCAAAACATGAACAACAGCAACAACAAGGATGGGTAAGATCCTCTCACACACCCTTAATCACACCACTAGACATCTGTGAAACACCATGTAAAGAGGTTAGAGCGTATTCAATTCAATGAAACATGGTTTGTTCTCCCATGAAAGAGCTCATTCATTTATTGGGTGCATGCTATGCTGTGTTCATGCAATGTGTCTAACCAGGAGTGGGTAGAAAAACTGAAACATAAGGAAACCAGGGATTGATTACATTTTGTTTTTCTATGACTCAGCAAATGTTCAGTTAGGAAGGCTCAGCAGAGTTGCATCGATTGGAAAAACAAAGACGCCCAGGAAGAATAGTCCAGCTAGCATTTTTAAAGACCATGTTATGGACCAAAAAATAGATAAATCAAACCACCTGGTGTGTAAAGGTTAATCCCCCCCCACCCCCCGCCACAAGGCGAGTTCTGTTTCACTGTCTTCTCATTATGTACTGATGTACATGTTAAGGATTTGGATATACTATGAGCCCTACACATCCGAAATGACCAAATACTGTGTCACAGCGCCCCCCGCAGGTTCTCTGCAGGTACTGACTGATGACAAAGATCAAATAACCTCACCTGCCTCTGTTTCTGGACATTTACAGTAAAAAGGATGAAAAGAAAGAAGTCAAGAAAGAGGAACCCAAAAAGGATGATAAAAAAGAACCACCGTGAGTACCACAAGCTCTTTTCCATGGATGCAGCTTTCCATCAAAGAGCACATTTTGACAACATGATTATGGTTTTATAGATCACATTTTCTACAAATTTGTCCGAAAGATTTGGTAAATTTGAACATTTAAGCAAAAATAACTGTAGAGTAAGTATTCTTGCTGTCTGAGGTATATTTGATTTATCATCTGGATCGTGGGTAGAGAGTAGATTCCAGGACAATATGTTAGGATGGACCAATACCCCTCCTTTGATGAATATACAAATACATTTTAACAAACAAAATCCCTTCTCTCATTCAGGAAGGAGTCGTGGGTCATGGACCCTGCCACAGATTTGTACTATTACTGGCTTTGGATGATATCCTTCCCAGTGTTCTACAACATGATGTTCCTGGTTGCCAGGTCTGAATTTATGGCATTTTGTATTTTCTCTCTACCTTATTGTTGTTTTCAGAGATCTTCATCATGGCTTTGCTTCCTTACAGGGCTTGTTTTAATGAACTGCAGTATAAAAACATCACGCTTTGGATAGTTCTGGACTACTCTTCAGATGGCCTCTACTTGTTGGACACCCTGATGAGAGCCAGGACAGGTCAGTGACAGAAACTCAGCTGAATGTGAGAAGTATATTATATTTCAAAAATGTGACTAATTCTGACGTGTCAACAGGTTTTCTGGAGCAAGGTCTTCTTGTAAAAGATACAAAGGTCCTGAAAGAGAAGTACATTAAGACACGGCAATTCAAACTGGACGTCATTTCCCTTCTTCCCACGGATATTGTATTCCTCTTAATAGGAATTAACAACCCTGAGTGGAGGTTCAACCGCCTCTTTAGGTTAGGCCGACTCTTTGAGTTCTTTGACCGGACTGAAACTCGAACAAACTATCCCAACATCTTCCGAATTGGTAACCTTATACTCTACATCCTCATCATTATCCACTGGAATGGTTGCCTCTTCTTTGCCATCTCCAAGGTGCTTGGCTTCGGCTCAGACACCTGGGTGTATCCGTCCATGAAGAACCCTGATTATGCTCGCCTGTCCAGGCAATACATCTACTGCTTTTACTGGTCTACCCTTACCCTGACCACCATTGGGGAGACTCCCCCCCCAGTCAGAGATGTCGAGTACTTTTTTGTAGTAGCTGACTTCCTCACTGGTGTTCTGATCTTTGCCACCATCGTAGGAAACGTCGGAGCCATGATTTCCAACATGAATGCTGCACGTGTAGAGTTCCAGGCTAAGATTGACTCTATAAAGCAGTACATGGAATTTCGTAAGGTCACAAAAGACCTGGAGTTAAGGGTGGTGAAGTGGTTTGACTACCTGTGGACGGAGGAGAAAACCTGTGATGAGAAGCTGGTGCTGAAGAACCTGCCGGACAAGCTAAAAGCAGAGATAGCCATCAACGTACATCTGGAGACCCTGAGGAAAGTGCGCATCTTCCAAGACTGTGAAGCAGGTTTGCTTGTTGAGTTGGTTCTGAAACTCCAGCCTCAAGTCTTCAGTCCTGGTGACTACATCTGTAAAAAGGGGGACATTGGGAGGGAAATGTATATCATCAAAGGAGGAAAGCTGGCTGTAGTTGCAGATGATGGGGTTACCCAGTTCGTGGTCCTCAGTGATGGGGCGTACTTTGGAGAAATCAGCATTCTCGGTATAAAGGGCAGCAAGGCAGGAAACAGGAGAACGGCCAACATCCGAAGTGTCGGCTACTCTGATCTGTTCGCCCTGTCCAAAGACGATCTGATGGAAGCGCTCATTGAGTATCCTGACGCTAAATATCTGCTGGAGGAGAAAGGAAAAGCCATCCTGATGAAAGATAATCTCATCGATGAGTCGCTGGTCAACGCTACTGACGCCAAAGACTTGGAGGATAAAGTCAACAAGGTGGAAGCCAGTTACGATGTCATGTCGGTCAAATTTCGGAAGCTGACAAGCCAGTTTGAATCTTCCCAGCGGAAACTCAAGCAACGGCTCACTAATATGTCCAACCAGGTCCGAACCCTGAAAGAGACTGATGAGTAGACCCTCTCAGGAACCCCACTTAAGGACTTTCCTTGTGATGTCATCCAACAGGACTGCAGCGGACGCTTTGTACACACCACATGGCATAGTGGCTCCATTCATTGTTCCCATATGTGTTCAAACAGAAAGGTTGCATTGAAAGTGGCCCCTCAGATATTATGGGCTAACTTAAAACTCTAAAGGTACCACCAGGAAAGTGTCCCCCCCCCCCCCCCCCAAAGAGTATATATAGTATCTATTTGGTCAGATTCTCAGTCTCGTCCTTTAACATAACTTCTCTTTCACTCTATTTTTTTACCAATATATTCAGGAAAAGTTTAATTAAAGTGGACCTATCATGCTATATTTGAATAATATAGTGTAGGACCATACCTATATAAGGCATATTTATACTTTTTTTTTTTCAAAATACCAAACAGATCATGCATTTTAGCCATGCCTCATTTTGCTCAATTTGACCATTTCTAGCTCTGGGCAGATTCAGTGAGAACAGCACCATCTACTGGCCTGGCATATGTACTACAGCGTCTCCAGCGCTTTGGAACGGCAATGGCCGTGGCTGTCTCCTCCTGATTGGTGGAGTTGGCCCAATAGCCGTAGCGCCACCGTCCTGACGTCAGGACAGTGTTCAAATCTGGATCAGTTTTTATCAGATCCGTTGCAACCCCTTTTTTAGAGATTTGGGTATGGAGGAAAATAGAGAGGGTTGTGTTTTCTGACACTTGGTGAGTTCCCTGGAACACCGGGGACACATATTCATGTATAAAAGACGTACAAAAGTGCATTTTGCATGATAGGTCCCCTTTAAAGCGGTCCATGTGATCAAATTGAGAAGTTTAGTTTAGTTTGTTAACTGTAAAAATGTAAATGGTTGTTCTGAGGCATACAAAAAAAAAGGTACACATTCGGTCTCAAAAGTAGAATTGTAGTAATTTGCACCCGTCATGTGAATGATGAACAGCACTAACAATAAACTATTAGAAGCAATCGGCAACATGTCATGTAATACTACTTACACTTTCGAAAGTGTTTCAGTCTGATTGTTTTTGGTGACATTTGTTGATTTTATTGGCATTGGAAGTTCCTGTTTTGTAAGAACTGTTTTGAATAAATTGACGTGTCATACAGCGAGTCATTTTGATATTAAATCTAACTTTTTTGGAGTATTAATAAGGTGGAAGTTAAGACTAGTGTTTGGCAGGAAAACAATTGACAACAACAAATGACCTGTGGACTCAAATCAGGAGTACAAGCAATACAAGTTGGAAAAAAGCTGTCATTTATTTATTTAGCATGTTTTCACAACACTGAATACATGTAGCCTTTCATCAGTTTGTATCTTTTGAGTGTAATTATATTGAAGAAAACAGCTTCCCTTTCCAAACTCAGGTTGACCTTTCACACGTCCACGTGAGCAACAGAGTGACAGAGTGATGTTGGACAGCTGACACCAGACCTGGGCTCAATACCAGCTGTAGGAAATCCTCCTTCTTGGTTTTAACCGACACAAGAGGGTTGAGGCTGCTGCGAACATGCAGTACAGTCCAATGTGTGTCCACATCACCAGGCACTCCACAAAACGGTCCAAAGGAGGTTAAAAGCATCGATACTAAGTTTGTGTTTGGCCCAGGTCCGGCTGAAAGCATGACAAAGTAAGAGCAATGGAACAGAGAAGGGCCCGGGCGCTCTGCTGGGGGGGCCCCGCCGCAGCTGAAACACAAATCAGAACCTCTCTAACAACCTACACACATGACGCATCTGCTCTGAACATGTGCATGTCCTCGTTGATCTCTCGCAGGTGAGCTCTGGTGTTCACAGACAGTGGATGTTGTCTGTTTCTGGTGACCCTCGATTGGTACTGGACATTAAAGCAAACAGCGAGAGAAAGATCTAGGAGGACGCACATTAAGGACGTCTTTAAAGAGAGGGACTTCAACCTACAACCACTAATGATATGTGGGTCAAGTGATTACACCTGAGCCAGCTGCATTCACTGACAGGGACTAATGGATGTGTTTGAAAGCTTCTATGCATCGACTGGTCCATTTAATAATCATTCTGAGGATGAGGGGTCATGGAGCATTTAGAAGTAACACATGTTAAATGTCTTTGTATACACATTACATTTCTGATGTCCAAATGTCTGCTATAGTTTTTTTGGGAGTATTCTATACATTGTTCAAGGTCACCGTTGGCATTCATTTCCTGCTGGTAAGAAAATATATAAGCAGACTCTTGAAATGTGGTGTAATCTATCACAATGAACAACATGTAGGTGTGTTCCATCATTCAAATGTCTGGTAGTGACACTAGCTCCAAATGATACTCTGACTTGGACATAAGTGGATGTTCACAAAGTGGTTGATGCGCTGGACGCACAGAATGGTAGAAAACAATTCAGATTTCATTAAATAAATGCACAAAAACACAGGTTTGTGCTTTAGATGAAAGCAGACTGTATTACACTCACCATTGTTATTGGATGTGCATAATGCAACAAGTTCCATTTTATTTAAATAAGCATGTAAATAATGTGTGGGTGCATTGCGCTGCTTGCCCTAATGCACTCTATGCACAGTGTACACAGTCTGTAGACAGGTGTTTAAAGGGTTAAGCCTACTCAACTGAACAAGTGAAATCAAAACATCTGCCTGTTCTGTTGGAGGATGCTTTCACAATAAAGGTGCTATCAAACACATTTTGTTAGACACCTGTAGTCATTGAATGCAACAGATCCAAACAGAAATCATCAGAGCCAATCAATCCAGGACGTGTTCAGCTAACTCAGAACAGAGAGGGATCAGAATTACCGTTAGCCTGGCCTTGCTACATATGTGAAACTGAAATATGGTGGACTCATTGTTCTACAGAGGGAATGTTCGGCCTGCTTCCAGCCCAACTTGACTTTATGCTAATTAGGAAAAGCAAACAAAAATGTAATCGTTTCTTTTAAATAATGTTTCCCCATCTCCTATATAGTCTAGTTGGCAGCATAGTGAACCCGGAAATGTTGAGTACCCCAACGTTTTATGTTAGAAATGTATAGTAATGGTCCCCAGCACATAGAAACGGCAGGATGCCAAGTTTCATATATTGGGCAATTTGCTAAATTAGCATACGTTGCATCTTTTTACTTTTTTCCACATTGGCAGTTACTATGTGCTGGGGACCCATACTATACATTTCTATCATAACATTTCCAGGTTCACAATAGGACTCTATGAGCTGGCAACTAGACTAATAATCATACATCAGTGAGACCTCAGATCAGCAGAGGAAGGGCCAATGGACTGAGTATAGTAATGAGTACTGGGGTCAGCTTGGCACAAGAAGAGCTCCAGGTCTGTATCTGAGATCATCATCAGTGACTGGTCTACACGTGTACATCCTCCAAAACGTGCACATAGTTCCAACTGCGCTGATATATAAATACTGTTTTATTTAGAATCGTCAACACAGGAAGACATGGAAATAAAACGCTTCAAACAATCATGGCGACCTGTGGCCAAAAAACAAACATTCTGAAAATGTCTAAGTGCACTTACACAGCTCTGACATGATTTTAGTCTAACCTGCGGTGCCCCCCTCCCCCCCAATGAAAAAAGGGACCAAAAAAACAAAAACAGCTGTCATAATGTGTCATTATGGCCCAAATGACCTAAATGTTTACCTTGTTCAAACATGGGTTAGGTAGAAAGAGTAGCAGATGGCTGTGAGTGGAATGGTCTGCGAGAGCTTTATCCTCCTTACTTTGTGGTAAAGATGACTACTACATGTTCTCGGTCCACTGGGGAAAGTTCAGGTCTACTTTAACATATATTTGTTCAATAACGGGGGGTTGTATTGATTGAATTGTTCCAGATTGACAGTTTAACAGTAACCCTCCCTCTTTCCCCAAGTAGGTAACTTGCACATAAAGATAGCATTGAAAAATAACCCATTTTAACCTTAACATAAATAATAAGGAAAATGATCCTCTCTGTACATAGAAAAAGACGGGGACACTGCTTCACATTGACGTAATGTGGATGTGGGGGGGAGGGGTACTTTGATCAGGAGGTCTCTGTGCTTACAATGACTGATGAAGGGTGATGCAGGCACAGCAGCTCTAGTGGAACCATTGCTCCTCGTTCTTTAAGGACTTTCCTGAAATCATACTCGTGCCTGTCTTCCGTCACCTTCTTCAGTTGAGTCTGATAAGGCGGTGCAGGGTTTCATGGGCTTGCTGAGTAGGAGTCCGTTTCACTGTGTGATGGAGTGGGGGGGGGGGGGGATGGGGTATGGGGGGGGGCTCAGAGCATGCCAAACCCTTTGGCATAGGTGATGGCTTTCAGCAGCCTCTCCTTCAGCTTCTCCCTGCAGCTGTACTCCGGCAGCAGCAGCACGTTAAAGCAAGTGTGAGACGTCGGTAACCTGCGGAGAGAACACATCACAGCTGCTCAGACAGGGTATATGCAGGACTCCTGAAGTCAAATGGAATACCTTTTATGACCTTTTTTTAAGACCCTTTCCATACATTTTAAGACCTCATCGCCACTTGGAGTTTTAACCGGTTACATTGGCGACACACTTTACCTCACATTTACTATATTCAGTATTGATTTTCCTTCCTCCTTATCTTCCAACCATTTGGACGCAAACTTGCATTTCCCCATAACGATGTTGTTTAACAACCGGCGTAAATGGGCCTGCCACGTCACTGGAGAGAAGTATAACGCTGGAGAAGTCTTTCTTCAATCCAATATGGCTCAGTAAGTGTAATGGCTACATGAGGACAGCTCCAATGCAGTCCGCCATTGAGAGGGATATTCACACGTGCATTAGAGGGGCGTAAACGTGACGTCATCAAAACATCTTCTCACAAACACTAGACGTGGAGCACAGTGGTGGCTCACCTGTCCGTGTCGGGGCCGTTCTTGGCGATGATCATCTTCAGTTTGCCCAGCCCCCCCACAGGTGCTCTGTCAGTGCCTGTGGTGAACTGCAGGAAGAAGCGCTTCTGCTCCTCCCCAAACGAGTGCAACGTCTCCCAGAACTCCCTGCGAGCATACACACATGGTTAGAAAAAGTGCAGTGTAACAAGGATCCTTCGTAAAGTAGTATTAACTTACACGAGTCACTTTTTATCTACATACTGTGCCTACAAACACTTCTTACTTGATGATTCGAGAATCTCTGTTGTAACCGCCATCGTACTCCGTTGTTTCTTCAAGTGCTAGGAAGTCCAGGTTCTGCAGTATGTAACAGACACAACAATGATTGAAATGAAGCAGATTTAAAATGTCTTCCTGACATATTTAAATGTCTGTTGACAAATCTCACCCTGCTTCCACAGATGAGGAGCTCGATCTCCTCCGGTCTGAACAGGTATTTGAGCGGGGACTCGTTGGTGACCATGTGGAAGCCTCTCCTGAACGCTTTGAACTGCTTCTCCACGCTTTTGTTCAGCATGTACTCTGCATACTGAGCCACAAATTCCTGCACACACACACATCAACAGTCCCCCCGTTTAATTCCCAAACCCTGATTTTTCAAACAGTTTGAACATTTCTTCATGCTTTCTTGTAGCCTCACCTTTCTGTTTTCATTGGTGACTGGAATCTTGTCCCCATTTTCCCTTAAATCATGCATGAGCGGGTTCCCAAACAGGTCCGTGTGGGAAATCTGGAAAGTGATCATCATGTCCTCCTCCACGCTGCCCTCGTACTCCATCAGCTCCTTCAGACTCTGGTGCAGAACCTTTTCAACAAAGACAACAACTATTGTCAAATCTGGCAGTCTCACAGCTACATGGATTAAGCAGCTAAAGAGCAATCAGAACACTTGCTAAGATAGTTCTTACCGGGTTTGCGACAGCCAGGTCTCTGAAGGTTCCTTTCTTTCCCATCAGCTTCCTGTAGACCACCATAGGAAAGTGGACATCCAGAATACAGTTGTTGTAGATGGCCAGGCCCAGAACGATTCCAATCAGAGTGTACTGGCCCTCATTTTCATATGATGACGGGTTGAACCAAAACATTTTGGTGTGCTCGTCGTATCTGAACATGCCTGCAGCAGGGAAAAAAGTCATAGAAAAAGGTTTTATTACTGAACTATGACCCGTGGGAGACTTCTTTGTTGCTTTGTCTGTGTGGAAATCTGACTCTTCACACACAGAGGACTTTAAATGTAAAGTGTGACATTTGACGTTGTTAAAGGCACATTTATAAAAGTCAAATACCTGTTACTTTAGATAAGAGCAAGTTCAAGGTTCTTTATTTGGCATACGAACATAGCTACAGAGTAGTTATGTTCGATGAAAATCTTAGGTCACAGGCTTCTCCAACAGTGCAACACAATAATACAGATAAATAGAAAAATATAGTGCAAGTAAATATTAAAAAGTAAATACAAAAAGAAAAATAGTTTAAAAAAAAGTGAAATAGTGAAATAAGAGTCTATATGCAAGCTATTGGAATGATATATTAGATAAATAGATAAATCATTACTAAGTAGCAGATGAATGTTATGGATGTTTCAACAGTTCAGGTGTTTAACAGTCTTATTGCCTGTGGGATGAAACTGTCTCTGAATCTGGTGGTTGTTGGAACCCAAAGCTCAAATCATAAATGTTATGATATTATTATAATGGTTTACATTCCATTAGAATAGAACTCGTGTTAACTGGTTGCACTTTCTAGGGCAGCTTTTCAGTAGCTCGCCGCTCGCGGTTCACAGACTGTGTAGAAAGAATCCGACGACAATAAATGCACCTGAATCAGTCCGTGTCGCTGCGGCTCAGACACACATGGATTTATGTTTTAAAAAATACTCGCGTTAGCACCTGGTCAGGTTTTTGGTGGATTTAATCAAGTCTTGGATTGCAGAGTATGAATGTCCTCTTGCTATTTTCAGTTGATAAATACGTGTGTAAAGTTTGTGAAGGCAGGAAAGCTTCCGCGATCACCGTCTCCTCTCTGTTCCTCCAAACCCCGCCCCCTCCTTAAAAATAATGAGTGACAGGCTGATAGTAACCTGATAGAAACTTTATTATTCACTGATTGAGATCATAAAGCTAACTTAATCTCATACATTCATGGGATTTATGTAACAGTAAGACAGAGAATGTAAGTGTGCACCCACATGCAGTATTTTTGTTTGTATATGCTATTGTAAATACTCCTGTTGTCTGCTGTGTTCAGACTCAAGTCATGTGTGTGATGCCACATTCAGGACATTCAGTGTCCTTTTTTTTTTTTAACAGAAGGCCGTTGCTAGAAGCTGCAGCTAGACTGCAGAAGCATTAGTTTTTTTGTTTTGAGGATGAAACAATTTCACACACAGATATAGGGAGGCTAGAGCTATACAATTGATTTATTATGGTTTATCATTGAATGTCAAGACGAAGAAAAAGAAGAAAAAGATGGCTGAACTGTTCAGTCTCAATCCTGTGGAGATGGAGGTGGAGGTTATAAATCTCCAAAATCATGTTCAGCTTAAGTCTCAGCAAAACCCACAACATTTCTGGAGCCTTGTAGACCCAGAAAACGATAAGAACATCACCAAACAGCACTGAAAATGTCTGCTTCATTTGGCTCTACAGACCTTTGTGAAGCAGCTTTTTCTGACAGGAATGTCATGAAATCTAAATACAGAACAAGACTGACTGATGAACATTTAAATGACTCTATTAGAGTGAACCTAAGTGGGTCCAGCACACACCTCTATGGTGGACTCCATGCAGCGCCAGTCCTCTCACTAACTGTGAAAAAGAGTGAATGCACTTATTTTACACATGTGCCATAAGATGCTTGTCAGGTGGTGATTAAGGTGATGTACTTACTATGTGGGCCATAATAATATGTGAGACATTGTCGTTTTCTTGGACCTTGATGTGAAGATTTTTGATAAGCTTTAGGTATTGCAATTTCACACGTGTACAAAAGTATAGCTTAATTCAACCGATGAGTGCTATGTGAATAAATGTAAGCGATGTGATGCAAGTAGCTCTTGGCCACTTTCATTTTTTTCAAAGTAGCTCTCAGATGAAGAAAGGTTGGAGACCCCTGTTCTAGATGATGTGTTTAAAATTAGGCCTATGGCATTCAAAAGTACAGTGTCAGCTATTGAAGTCTTAAGATCATCAGGCGTGTTTCCTACTTAGAATTCTGGATTTGCAACATAAATGCTAGTTGTTGTGTGTTTTCTCACCGATATCTGGGTTGAAGATCTCCTCCACCACCAGCTGGAAGAACTCTTTGGAGACCCCCCCTTCATCGACACCTTGCTCTCCTTCAAACTCCACGTACAGCTGCTTCTTCAAGTCTGCAGGATTCTCCATTGCTATCATTTCCAGCTAGACACACAAGCGGAACAGATCAGTGTTACAAACTGAACCAATATGACAAAGAAGCCTGAATTGTACATATTGAACTGGCGCACACACATACCCTGACCAGCGCGTCGTCGATGATGTGGTCTCGGCGCACTTTGAGCCTCAGATAGGGGTTGAGCTGCTGACCCTGGACCAGGCTGTAGAGCACAGTGATGCGCCGCTCGCTGTACATGCGGATGCGGTTGTCGTAATACAGACCCAGGTTCTTTGTGACGGCATTCAGAATGAAAGGGCATGTCATAAAGGAGAACTTATTTTCAGTTTCAACCTTAAAGAAAGTGTAGTCCTTGTCCATCTCCAGCACCTCGTTCAGAGGCTCGTTGACAAACTCCTCGAAGGAAATGAGCGGCTTCCGACAGTCGTTGGTGCGGATCCCCAGCTCTGTCTCCAGGGGGTCCACCCGGGGGCCCTTCTTGTTCCGCCGCTCCTCCCCCAGCAGCTCCTGCAGAGTGAGCTCGCTGGACTCTGGGATGGGCTCCTCGTCCTCGTCCTCGTTGTGCTCCATGTCCAGGTCGCCGCCGAGCACGTTTGCATAGTAGACAATCTTCAAGCACTTGGTGGATGCCACCACTGCGTCGTCGTCGTTGACCAGGTTGCGGCTGTTGAACTCGTTACTGATCACCTTGTAGGTGATGAGCTGCTGGAAGGTCTCCACCATGCGTCGGATCTGCTCTGCGCTGTAGTGCGACCACAAGCCTGCCAGCTTGGCCTGGGCTGGCAGGGGGAGTTTACTCATCGCCTTGCAGAACTGTGGCAGGGCGATCTCCAGGTACTCCGGGCTGTGGAGGTTGCTGTTCTCCATCACTATAACAAACAGGTTCAGGTAGTTTTGGTCTCGTGAGTACACGTTGTGGTACGTCAGGTCGCACTCTACGTTGGGTGAGAGGTAAACCAGCGCATTCAGGAAGGCGGCTTCTATCTTCTCATTGGAAAGCAGCCGCTCGTAAACCCGCCGCACAGCGTCAATGTCCACCGACAGCTCGTCAGGGGACAGCCTTTGGACTTCGTTTTCCCCTGAGGAGCCCTCGCCGAGCCTGGCTGATGAAGAGGAGGCAGGGGAGTCTTCCTCCATAGCTGTAGCAGAGCAGGCTGCGGCCTCCTTCTCATCCTCATCCTTGTCCTCATCCTTACCTTGAAGGGACTTGAGCTCCTCCTTGGTGTGAGGTTTGGATCTCCGGAAGCTCTGCACCAGGCCCTCAGCACTGGAGAACACCCGGCCTATTACCCGGATCAGAGGCGAGTAATCTTCCTGCTCTCCACAGAGGTCCAAAATCTCGTACACTTTCTCTTCTGTCAGGTAATTCACATCTATGAAGAAATTGAGAAAAACAGATTAACAGACTTTCACAGCTTATTCCGCTTCACTTTATTAATACAAAGTATGTAAATCCTGAATATCTGGCGTCCACTCACCTTTGAAATTGTCCCGGACAGAGTGGGAATCTTTATGGTTCAACTGGCTGTTGCTGCAGGCTGAGTTGCTGTGAGCGCTACTCTCCAGGTGGGCTGAGGCAGTGACTTTCTTTGAGGGGTGGGTGTCACATAGCTTCGCGTTGACCTTGTAGAGCTCCAGCGCTTTGACGGCCGCTGCGTTGTTATCCATGCGGTTGAAACCGACTGATGAGGCACACCATGAGTTGGAGCACGACTCATTCCCACAGCCCTCGGTTAACTGGTGGTAGTAGCGCTCTATTAGATGTTTGGCAGCTGCTCGCTTCCTGCATTCAGAGGGGAAGCACAACATGCGAGTGTGTAAATCACCTTTTCTCATCATTAACAGTAATTAGTACATTATGAGTGTGATGTTGCAGAAAATAGTTAAGGTTATGAGTAATCACGTTTTAACTTCTTCTAAAAACTCAGGACAGTTGTATGACTGCATTCTTGGCTTTAATACATTGCATTCATTAATATAAATATAATACATCTAATAAATGTGTTTTCTTTGTTTAATGGTTGACTTTAGCTGACAAGCATCCATACTCTATACTTTCAGGCTGTTCCTTGTTATTAAGCGATACATTCAATATGTTGGAGCATTTAGAAAAATCTATCTGCAATTACGGTTACTCACGTATGAGATGGGTGTAAATGAGCCCTGTTGACAGATACCAGTTTCCCCCTTTTTATTTTATTTTGCCAAGGCTCTCTTTAATTTCAGCACAAAAGATCATTCTTGGCTTTATTATTGAACAAAACAATTCAGGTATATTTGAAGCACTAGCTTTATACACCAAGCTTTCATATAGCTGATGCTTTTTTAAACTGAGCCATTGTCTTTAAATAATGACATGATCTTCAAACTGTTTATAATACATCAATACGTTGCACTACCACAGGAGCAACTTAGAAAAAACCTATTTGCAAAGATTGCGTAGTGTCACTTTTTTGCAAAGTTCTATCACTTTGGTTCACCATTAACAGGGTAACAACCAACTGTCAACAGGCTTCTGATGGCAAACAAGAAGAAAACAAGAAGTGAGAATAGAATAGAACAGTGGTGAGATCTGCGGGTGTGGAGGGGGGGGGGGGGCAGTATTAAATAAATACGCAGACACAGAATCATACAGTATACCGTAAGTATTTACTAATAGTAAATAGTGAGTTTGACTTACATTCGGCTTGCTTCTGGGTTTTCTATTTCAGGCTCCTCGTATTCTCTAGTAGAACAAACAGATAATAAGAATAAGAAACATAGCAGAGGTCACGCTATGTTGCTTTGACATGATCAATATATGTATACATTCACTTTCTGTCCTGTATGTTACATAGGGAATCAATGTGCAATATTAGAACATATTTTTTATTTTAGACTTAGGTGGGATTTAGGAACGATGGGAACATGACATGCTAGCCATAAGGCAACATTAGAGTCGTTGTAGAAGCAGGTTAGCCTTGTGTGGATTTGGCCCACAATCAGTTTTCTGATACATGTGTTAATACGTGTACGCTGTTAATGCAAATGACTGTCAACGTTAGCGAAATCCTACAATCTAAGCATAGAGAGGCAATAGGGCTAGTCAAGTAACGCTAGTAGAAATGAGAGGGATCTGCACATCCTGACGCTGACTTAGCAAGCTAATATAGCAACAACTAGCTAGCATGCTTTCCTTATTTCACCTATTATTATTATTGATTCAGAAATGACGTTTGCAAAGTCACTTTTTTAAGCAGCCAGTACTTGCTGTGAATTTTGCCTGATGATATTTATTAAAACAACAGAGCAATAGTAGGCACAGAGGTCCCAAATACATTAAGCTAGTTAGCTATCACTTTTAGCACGCTCCTAGCATCCCCGACTCTTTCCTGCTGGCGTCCCCACCTATGTGTTCCTTCTGCGAGGCTAGTCTCGGCCTGTAGTGGCGCACACTCACAGTCCTCCTTCTCGTCGGAATTCATACGACACTTTATCCTCAGTTGTTTCTTATCCTGTTGCTGTCTGTGTTTGTATCAAGTCCTCCACGAGATGGTTACACCTTCAATAGCACGTTGGTTTAAGTCTAAACGGGATATTTTATTCAAAACTTCATTAACGGCCTTCGTACAGCAGGCTCTTTGCTCTGCCTGAGGTTCACAGCCATCTTGACTTCTCCATAAACCGACATCCCACAATGCACTGCCTTCTAGCTAAAAGACCTGCTGGAGTGGATCATAACACTTCAAGGAACTGGACTCATTTTATTCATCATTGGGCCATAGCTACAAGTGAATATAAACATATATTCAGATTGTATACACTTTATATATTTAGACAGCATATGTATATATCATGGTATGATATATGGTACAATATAGTAGCCTATATATTATATTAGGTTTTTTTATGTTTTATTTTTGGGACAAGAAGCCTACTGTATATAGCATTATTCAATGACAAACACCAGAGCAGCCTGATTCACATTTCTCACAGTATATTATATTATAATTTAAGATATTCGTTTTATTTAATGTATGTTTTTATTTTATTTATGTTTTATTTTTGGGACAAGAAGCCTACTGTATGTATCATTATTCAAATAAATACTCAAATATGCATGAAGTCGAATGTAAGCGACAGCTTGTCAGGGTTTATTATATTAAATATTGGTTAACATATTCTAAATCAGGGGTGTCGAACTCAATTTCATCGGGGGCCACATTAGCATTAAGGTTGCACTCAAAGGGCCGGTTGTAACTTTAGACTATAAAACTATATAACTATATCTATATATATATATATATATATATATAACATTATGTATTATATTACATTATTGCCTATGCATTGGATTATTATCGGATAGGCTAATAACTTCATAATTAACTACGTCTGAAAACAGAAGTCAAGGGCAATTAATTGCAAATAATTGCAAATCTCTTTAGTGCGCATGTCACAAAATGAGATGCATTGTGGGACATGGAGTTTATGGACAACATGCTTCTGTAAAGCGGCATGAAACCGTACGGTATAATAAACGTATTATATTATTTGCAAGCTCTTGCGGGCCACATAAAATGAAGGCCTTGAGTTTGTCTCCCCTGTCTACATAAACACGCACAGTTTAATAAAACGTAGACATTACTACAGAACAGGTGCAAACTGAACAGTTACCTCACAAAAGTGTTGCCCTACTTCCGTCTTAAATATAAAGTTATATTGAAGAACTTAAAATAAACGTTTTATAGTTATCAGTGTTTACTACGTTGCAGTTGTGAGGTTTACACTGCCTGCTTGAAATATGTTTGTAGGACTTTTCAGTTTTTTAACAGGTAGAAAAAGTAATCAAAAAAATAATCAAGTGCAAAAGTCATCAAAAAAGCTACATTTCATCATGTCTTTCTATTTTGACAGGGTTATTATTAACATTCTACACTGCACGGCTTCCTGGACACTGAAGGTAACAGAAGCGCAGTGTGAGGCAACATCACTTTCTCAGTATTGAATATACGGGATTCATTTTAATTCATATTTTTTTCTATTAACAACAAATTGCAGTTTTGGAGGACATAAGCAGAACTGGCAACCTCAGATCTCTGCGCTGTGTGCACATGGGCACACTTTGCGCGCGACACTCAGTCTTTCGCCGTCACACAACGAGAGCAGACCTGTCCTGACCGAGCGGAGCCACGCCACGAGGGAGAAAGCTACAATATTCCACTTGAGAAGCATTCATACAGGTATTGTCATGATCTTTACCAATGTATTTCCCTAACCGGCCCTTAAAACAGTTTTAGAAAAACAGAATTTCACTAAATTGTATTTTACTTCGTATTTAGTGCGGAGTTAGCAGCAGCACGGTGTGAGCTAGCTACAATGTGTAGCTAGTTGTAGCTAGCTAAGGTGTGGCACTAGCTTAGCTAAGGTGTGGCGCTAGCTACAATTGGCTAGTTGTAGCTAGCGCCACACCTTGCTGCTGCTATTCATGGCCGTCACATTCTAATTGGACTACATGTTCTTACCAAACCATATAATTCATAAACCTTTCAATGGTAATTTGGTCTTTCGTTGGAGTGCGTCGACGTCAAGGCATTAATGAGTCGTCCTGCTCTTCAAGATTAGCATTAACTGCACATGGTGATAACCGCACACGTGTTAGCAATGCTTTTTTTTAACAAGCGGCTAAACTTGATAAAGCCTGTCCTAAATGGGTTTCGTGTACGAATTTCAGTTCAACCGAATAGATAAAGTAAGGATGTGATATGCTTCCTCAGGTTTGTTAGTTTTTACGCAATTTATATTTGGTCTTAGCAAGTTAGCTTAACAGCTGCTTTGCTAAAGCCACGAGGTCGCCAACGGTTCATACGACAGTAAGTGTAGTGTAGTGTTAACTAAAACACATTTAAATTGATTATTTAATAAAAAATTGAATGAAATGTTAATTCGTTTTAATATACATTTTTACATTTGTATTTTTAATTATTTGTTTGGCCCTGTCCTTCAGATAGATTCACAACCAAGTTAAACCAACATCGGTGATAGAAAGTAACTAAGTATATTTACTGAAGTACTGTACTTAAGTACGCATTTCAGGTACTTTTACTTTAATTAAGTATTTATATACTGTACCACATAATACTTTTATTCAACTATTGAAAGGGATAAATTGTACTTATAACTACATTTATTTTAAACTTTTAGTTATTTTATAAATCCTGATTTTCACACATGTATGAACTCTTACATTAAACTATCCTACATTATAATTAAGAACCCCTAATAAAAGTATTTTTTTTGTGCGGAAAATAAAGAAAAAATATATGCTGCATTTCCAATAATTGATTTTAAAGTTTCTTTTCTTTCTGCATTGTAAACTTTTACTCATACTTAAGTACATTTTCCTGGTCATACTTGTATACCTTTACTTCAGTACCTTTTTTAAATGAAATACTTTTACATTTAACAGAGTATTTTTACAGTGCAATATTTTGACTTAAGAAATTGATCTAAATACTTTTCCTTCTCTGAATATTTGTGATGTTAATAGTTAACCTGTTGTGAGATCTGAATGTTGACCTTATGGTATGATTTTCTTTAAGGCGAACAAAATGGACGAGTGGACCGAGGTAAGATAGTGTACTGTTGAAGTGCAAACAAAACGAGTCACTTATGTCAAGCTGAGTCGGGTCAGCACCTGATGAGAGTTTATTATCTTTACAGGGAACTACTAGTAATACTACTACAGTAACCAGCCAATCAAGTGAAGGTATGTCTACTGTAAATTCTGCAAATTATTTAGTGATCATTATTTGCCGTTATGAGTGCATGTACAATGGACTGGCCTGTCCATAAGAATTCAATTTGGCTGTTCTATATGAAAAATAAGAGTACAGGCATTTGGAAAAATTTGATATGTATTTACGTTAAGATGATGCATTGTTGGACATTAACACCTTTAGGCACACAAGGTGACTCCTGGAACTCTGACCGGGGGAAATATGGAAGAGGTAAGTGTTGACAGGATGAACCATAACTATATCTGCCCTAGAGGATATAAATGATATAAATAAGTGTTTTTCTGATTCTTCACAGGTCGTGGAGGCAGAGGAGGATTCAAAAGCTCATTCTCAGGTTTGCATTCATGTCATATTATTTAAAGGGTACTGAAATGGTTAGAAGTTGAGTAACTGAATATCTGGCATACGTTGACCTATAAATTGGTTACTATCACATTTTTACTCAATAACTTGTGATGGGAGACATTTTACAGACCTAAGATGAATTCAATAAATTAAAGTGATCATAAGATTAAGCAGACTATTTATAAAAAAAAAAAAAGTGTGCAAGACTGCATTAAGTCATCTTAACTGTTTATAGTTGGACATTTATTATAAACTCAAGAAAAAGACCCCTTAATGCTCAGAGGGGAGGAAGTTTAATTCCATAGGCATTGTTTAAGCAGGCTAACTCATTTGGTGCTTTGGCCTTTGTTTTGCAGGTGCTGACGAGAATGGGAATGGTAAGCACTGAGCAGTATTGTGTTGAGATGGCAGTGGCTCAGTCCTTGGTGCCACTCATCTTCCAATTTGTTATTCGCAGGTGGTGGAAATTCAGAAGACGGGAGTGGATTTAGAGGCAGAGGTGAGACGTGAATTGAATTTAACCAAACAGTCAGTGCATGAGCTGTAGTTCACAAGGGGTCTTGAGGAGTTGTAGCATTTATTCTACAAGAAACATAGGTGATCAGAGGCGCTTGTTTGTTCTCTCAACCTCCATTGATTGCTTTAACAGTTTGTCAGTTGCCAGATTTCTATTACGATTGAATGCCTTTGATGCGTGTCTAAAATATTTTGTGTCCCGATGGTATGTTTATCCTTTCAGGCGGTGGAAGAGGGTTTGGCAGGACGGATCGCAGTGAATCAAATGGTAATTATTTGTATAAGTTTAGTTGTAATTCTGCTTAATCTTGTTTCTCCAAATGAATCTAACTAAAATAAATGTGTTAATTCTCTATTTTACAGGAGAGGAAGATGGAGGTACGTTTTTTTTCTCTTTTTTTTTTTAGCCCCGTCAAGTTATACATTTTCCCAGAAGAGTAATTGTTTTATCTTCTTAATGTGAATCTGATTTGAATATTATACGCTCTGAACAGGGTTCGGAGGCGGAAGCCGAGGAGGAAGAGGCGGCAGAGGAGGTTTCCGACAAGGTACTTATGGATTTAGTCATAATGTGGAAAAAGGATATTTAGCTTGACGATAGTTTTCTAACTGCAAGTTATTATGTAATCTTAATTTGAAGTGTGATTTACGGTTAATGGTTGTGTTAAAGGTGGAGACGATGGACCCAGAGGAGGAGGCTCAGGAGGAGGTAATAAAGCAAACGGTTCACATCCTAAAGCTCTGTCTTTCTTGAGAAATGTCCAGCATGTCTCGTTTGTTTTCAGGCTACCGAGGGAGAGATGAGGATTCCTTTACTCGAGGTAGTAATAGTGTTTTGATGATTTTAACCAATTTAGTTGGGAATTGAAAATGTCCGTGATGTGACTGACATCTTAATCTAACACAGGCGATTCTAAAGATCCAGAAAAGAAAGATGGCGACGAAGAAGAAAGTAAGTAAATGACCTGAATGATATTAAAGTGTTCTGCATTATGATAAAGGTTGTTTGTTTTCTGAACCACAAATAATTTTATTTTGTATTACAGGACCAAGGGTCACGTATATTCCTGAAGCACTCCCCGAAGATGAAGCATCCATTTTCGCCCACTATGAGAAAGGCATCAACTTTGCGAAGTATGATGACATCACAGTGGATGTCAGTGGAAGTAACCCCCCGCCGGCTATCATGGTGACTAAGTGCTAAATAATGAATTAATGAATTGGTTGAAAAACAAACGCTGCTCTATTTGGAGTAACTGGTTTGCAATGAGCAATTAAAGATGCTTTGGTAAGTGGTGATGAACAGACATTTAACATATCAACTTGATTTTGTACTTGGTATTAATCTACATTTGATGGATAACGATGTTAGTAACATGTTTGTATGTTGTAAAATGCAAATGTCTTCCCTCGTGTTTGTTGGTTTTAAGGGATATTTGTTGACCTAACAAGGACTTCAGTCCACAGTGAGACTTCACTGAGCTGACTGCTGGTCAGACGGAAATAAAAAGTACTTTGTTTACAAATTCGTAAAATCATGATATTTGAATAATCCACAACAGCATTCCACTGGATTCCTATTTCTACTTTGAACCAAAATGACTTTACAAATGATACGTTCAGGATGAGCTGCCAGCTCCCTGGCCTTTCTTTCAATAGAGAACCGCAGTGACGCGTCCTAAAACCTGGAAGTAAACTCCTTCCGGTTCCTTCGTCAAAAACGCAATGCAATTTCTCCATAGGATTTTGGAAAATAGCTCGAAATAAGGTCTGTGGTTGACACACATTTAAGAGACGGATCACGTTTTGTTCAGCAGGATAATATCCACATGTCTACCCTACTTTTATCATTTTCCAATCATAAATCTAGTTGCCAGAAGCAAAATGCTAACGTTATGCTATAAACGAACTACAGCAGGGTCGCTGCTTCAACGTCACGCCAACTTAAGATCCATATTCAAACATACAGATTCTAAATGGTAGACGTTGAAGCGTTTGAACAGTTTGCAGGAGGCAGGTACTTGCTTTCAAGCAGAACAGGGCAACCAAACTTAGCGGGAGTGTTTTACGTGTTCGGTGTAATGACGTAAACCGGCCTGGACAATTTCTGTAGCCCTATTCAGCCACTCTGTAACAACCATCGTTTTTCAGACACGTAAACTTCAAAAATCACCAGTGGGGTCACTGCTGATGTATTTAATGTTGTAGAACAAAACGTGATTTATCTCTTCAATTTGTGTCAACCACAGACCTTATTTCGAGCTATTTTCCAAAACCCTATGGAGAAAATGCATTGCTTTTTGACGAAGGAAGTGGTAAAAATGCTAACTTACTTCCGGGTTTTAAGACTCGTCACTGCGGTTCTCTATACCAATCTGAAGGGTGGAACTCCAGCAACCTTTTAGATAGATGGATATACTTTATTGTTGGCAACGAATATGAACTGTTGGTGTGTTCTGTTTTTCATCTTTTACTGATTGAAACCTTTTTCCTTCAGACTTTTGAGGAGGCAGCATTGTGCGAGTCACTGAGAAAAAATGTCAGCAAAACTGGTTATGTGAAGCCCACCCCCGTTCAGAAGTATGGCATCCCCATCATCTCTGCTGGCAGAGATCTCATGGCCTGTGCCCAGACTGGATCTGGTAAAACGGTGAGATAAAAGAATGACTTCTTGACTGGAGTTAGCTTGTCGATACACTTTTAACGTATGTTTGTTTCTCTAGGCTGCTTTCCTCCTGCCTATCCTGCAGCAGCTGATGGCAGACGGCGTGGCAGCGAGTTCCTTCAGTGAGCTGCAGGAGCCCGAGGTCATCATAGTGGCCCCCACCAGGGAGCTCATCAATCAGATTTACCTGGAGGCCAGGAAGTTTGCCTTTGGGTATGTTTCCACTAACGTTGACTAATATTCATTATAACCTTAAACTCCTTGTAACACCCAGCATAATTTCAAATGCAGCCCACACATTAAAGTTTGTTTTTTCGTGTGCTCTGACTGTTGTAGGACATGTGTACGTCCAGTTGTGGTTTATGGTGGAGTCGCCACTGGACACCAAATAAGAGACGTTCTGAAGGGGTGCAATGTGCTGTGTGGAACACCTGGGAGACTGTTGGATGTCATTGGAAGAGGAAAGGTAAACTGACGGATGTGTTTCTCTGAGGTTGACGTCAGAGTTGCACAGTCTGTAGTTGAAGTTTAAACTGTAATCTGAATGTTAATGGTGCTCCACAGATTGGCTGCAGTAAGCTGCGGTACCTGGTGATGGATGAGGCTGACCGGATGTTGGATATGGGCTTTGAGCCTGACATGCGTCGCTTAGTGGCCTCGCCTGGCATGCCTACCAAAGAGAACCGGCAGACTCTAATGTTCAGCGCCACCTTCCCTGAGGACATCCAGAGGTCTGTCCCTGATCAAACACCTCTTCACTGTACAAGTGAGCTTTGTATGTATACAATGGAAATGTTTGTGTTTTTTTTTTTTAGGTTGGCGGCCGACTTCCTGAAGACAGACTATCTGTTCCTGGCTGTGGGTGTGGTGGGCGGAGCCTGCAGTGATGTGGAGCAGAAGCTTGTCCAGGTCACCAAGTTCTCCAAGAGGGAAACGCTGCTTGAAGTCCTCAAAACCACTGGTAAAGCCTCTGAACTATTAAACAGCCTCTTGCTTTCTCAAATTCTGAAAATCTCTCGATATTAGAAAGGCCAATGATTATTAGAGTTGTTCCAATCGGTTTGGACTTTGTGTTGCTGAAAAGGTTGTTCGCAGTATTGCTTCCAACAGGACTGAATAATGTCTTCACTCTCAAACTGAACCATGAATAGGCTTTTCTTAGTCTGGATGTTGATGGTTTGTTGCAGGAACTGAACGCACCATGGTTTTTGTGGCGACCAAGAGACAAGCTGATTTCATCGCCACTTACCTGTGCCAAGAGAACATTCTGACCACCAGCATTCATGGGTAAGTGATGGTTACAGATGTCTGTATCCACACCTGGTTTGAATGTGGATATGATTGTATTTGTTTCCCCTCAGTGACCGTGAGCAGCGAGAGCGAGAGCAGGCTCTGGCAGACTTTCGCTCCGGCAGACGGCCAGTCCTGGTGGCCACTTCTGTAGCTGCCCGGGGTCTGGATATTCCAGATGTGCAGCATGTGGTCAACTTTGACCTCCCTGACAACATTGACGAGTATGTCCACCGTATCGGTAGAACCGGTCGCTGTGGGAACACTGGGAGGGCCTTGTCTTTCTATGACCCCGAAGCTGATGGCCAACTTGCCCGCTTCCTCGTTACCATCCTGTCCAAGGTAAAACAACTTGAGAATTAACATTCATACTGAGGGTGTTTTTGCAAAATAACTTCTGTATAGAATTACTAAAGGCAGGCACAAGAATGTATAATTCCCCCTAACACACTAATAACTGAGAGCACAGGAGTAGTCTGTGTGCGCCTTTTAGGGCTGTCCCGAATACCATTTTTCGGGCTATGGATATTCGGTAGTAATCCGCAGCGAACCGCTTCAACACGTGTATTTCGGGTTTAATCACGGCATTCATTTTGTTATTCTACAGTATTGTTGTTTTATAGTTATTTGTTAATGTATGTATATAACCCAATTTGTGTTCTTTGAAATTGAAAAGGATATTGCATTGTGTTTGTTACTTTCGTTGCAGTTATTTTTTATGGACATGCTTTTATTTTGAAGGAGTTAGCGCTGTTGACAGGAAGTTGTTGCTATGGAAACAACGTGACGGAGATTAACGGAGAAAAGTCATATCTACATATAAAGACGGAGAAAGTAAAAGATAAAGTTTATGATTAAGTGTTAGCACCCCCCGAAGAGGCACAAGCTCTTGCGTTGATATTGGAGATTTCAATAAATTCAATTAAGCCAAAAAAAAAATACGAATAACGAAATTGAAACCAGAATAGTACTCCAACTAACGGATATTCGGGTGGTCTTTGACAGGCCCAGCAGGAAGTGCCCTCCTGGCTGGAAGAGTCTGCGTTCAGCGGCTCCGGATCTGAAGGCTTCAAGGGCTTCAACTCCACAGACTCCAGGAAGGTGACTGCTTTACATTTCTCTCTTGGAACGTTTGTTATCAGTTTAGCCTTCTGTCCCAACCGTGTCCTCATGTGTCCTCAGGGAGGATCATTCGCTGACAGCGGAGCGAGGAGCCAGGCCGCTGCTGCGCCAGAAGTAGATGAAGAATGGGAATAGAGACATTTGAGCCAAGCACTCGACATTGACCTGAGTTATTTTTCTTTTCATGTGTTCAGTTTGTTGTAGTATTTTAGTTTGAAGTTTCTCAGATAAGACAATGTTAAGTCACGAGAGATGTTAATGGGAAACCAGGTCCTGTATGATGTGACAACCTAATGGGTCTTCATGACAGCATAATGTGGATACTTGGTTTTATTTTAAAAGAAGTTCCTTTTAATGGACTTAAGGAACATAAGGTGTCTGATTTAATATTCCAATGTTATTACTTTGTTTATCACTACGATCAAGAACTAATAAATATTTGTTCAAAGCCTACACTTGTTGGAGTACTTGATATTCATAACATCATTTCATACTTTTAAATAGTCTTATCTGAAATACCAAAGTCCATTTTATAGATGATATTGTCAAAGCTCCCTAATGTCAATTGATCAATAGCTTGCAAAGGATTATAGGACACGGCTCGGCAGAGATATCACAGCTGCACAAAGAAAATACAGACATATGGCCAAGTATAATAAAGAAGTATAAACATGACCAGTGCAAGTGAATTAACTAATGAATAGTGATGCATAATAGATCATGAGTTTTGCAAGGCCATTTCAGTTCATATGAACATGAAGCATCTCAGTGACACGAGTGATTATAAAATCAAGATCTGACAAACTTGAAGATCTCAAGGTGGCAAAAAACACAGCACAGCTTTTCAAACAGAATACACCCTTCAGAAACCCAGAGTGTTAGGTACTGTGGGATGTACTCTGAGACGCTGCAGTGGAACATCACATTGTGGTGTAAGATATTACATTGTGTGGCAAACAGTAAGATAACGTATACATTTTATTCTGTGTACAACTTCAGGGAAAAGGCCAAAAATAGATTGTATATTGCATTTTAAGATTTAGAAGATTGCAATAACCACGATTTTATTCCAAATGTACACAATGATTGTATTGTAGCTCCTGCTGACAGGTTTGCTAGGCTATGGTACAGTGTCAAGTCCTACATGTATATCAATTATGTTTATTAATGCCACTTTTAAATGACTGAATTGGTAGTGTATTGAGTTTTTAAAGTAAAGTAGCCCTAGTACATTTAAGTGCTTTAGTAAAAGTCCTGCATTCAGAGTACAAAGGTATCGTCATCAAATTATATTTAAAGTAAGTCATAAGTACTCATGCGTATTATCCCATTTTAGAATCATATTGAGTTTCTGGGTTACTTTTATGATTATTGATCGGTGTTTTTTTTTATTATAGTAAAGGTGGAGCTAATTTGGATTAGATTTGTTTATGTACTACTGCTGGATATCTTAACCTATAAATATGTCAACGTTTATTTAATAATTGATTTATGTTTTATTAGTTGTCTAAATCTAAAGAGTAACTAATAACTAAAAGCTGTCAATTTAATGTAGTGGAGTAAAAAGAACAATATTGGCAAAATGTAGTAGAGTAGCAGTATGAAGTAGCATAAACTGATAGAGCCTATAAGTGATTAATGAATGAACATGGTGAGCGTTTAATCACCGGACCTGGGGGGACAGAGCCTTCTCCGTCGCTGCCCCCTCCCTCTGGAACTCACTCCCACTGTCACTACCATGGATGTATAATAAGAACGAGTGACACCCATAGAGATAAATCTATGGTGACACCCACAACCCATCAGAGACTGCACTGACCTCTCACCTCTTCAATCTGGCTTTTAATGTGTGATTGTTTTTGTATTATTTGACTTTAACTATATATATTTAATTGTTCTTTTCTTTTCACTATATCTGTAAAGCATCTTTGAGCACCTGTAAAAGCGCTAACAAAATAAATCTATTATTATTAACGCTCTGCACCGCCCTGCGTCGTCTCCATAGCAACGCCCACTGCTCAGATTCTGATTGGTCCGCTGCTGCGTGTTGTCTGTTTAAAACTTGGGCTTCACCCGGAAGTTGGAGCATAACATTGTGCGTGCATGTAAAAACATAAACAATACAGAATAGTTGAAATAAGTGTATCTAATGTGTTTGGCAGCAGAGTGCAGGAGCTAGTTCACCATGAGAGGAACAGCTAAAGGAAAGGTAAGACCGAATAAAGCTAAACTGAACACACAAGCTAGCCACCTGTTAGCTTAGCTTCATCAACATATAACTACTTTGTGGACCACAACATAACACTGCTACACAAACACACACCCTTCACTGTTAGCACGGTTAGCACTGTTAGCAGGGGGCTCTCCTGCAGGACATTGAAGTTGAAGCTAGCTGTTGTGTTCACATTCTTCACTAATATTTTTGCATTTATTGTAATAACATGATATACATTACTGCCAAGTGAGCTGGGTTGGGAGGGATACTTTAAAACCTGTACAAAATGTAACCTAATCTAAGAATGGCAAAATACAATTTATGTAACCTGGACATTTTGTTATTGAGTGTATAATAGTAACTGTTTGTATCCTGATGACTTCATCCCGTTACATGTAATCTGTTACTCCGCATGCCTGCGAGCGAGTTACAGGGTTTTAGAGCTGTGCTTCAGATTATGATGATTTCTTAATATACAGTGTTGAATATACATAATTCAAACTTCGAAAAGAGATGCTTTCATTGCTAGTTAGATTTGTATCATCTGTCACTCCAGGCTGCAGAGGAACTAAAACAAGAGCTCTTTTTGAAAGCAGAAGTGCTGTCAGTGGTTGGTATACGCAGGTAGCTCTGACATGTGACAGACCTGGAATCAGTCCTCCAGTTTAAACAGGCGTGTGATTGACAGGTGGTGACGTCAGGGAGGCTGACCGGAGGAGGCAGAGTGCAGCTCTCCAGGAGACGGTGAGAACACAAGCTTTCATTCACCTTTTTTATTGTCACTGCCCATATTTCTTATATACACGTATGTTCCTTTTAGCACTCCCTCAAACCCAGGAGCAGCAGTCTGCACTGAGCCAGCATATTCCCTGTATTCCACAGACTCTGAGGACCAGGTGAGGAGGGGGCCTTGATGGGTACTACACACATGAGAGGATACTTTGGGATGAACATGGGGTACTCTAGATGTTCTGAAGGAAGCTTTTATAAGAGGTGTTATCCATATTCAGTGTATTAGTTTCAGTAGATGGTGGTCTGCATGCCCCAAGCTGGCAAGGCAAAGTCAAATACAGCTGTGGCAAACTTTTGAAAGAAAGGCCCACCGAAGAATGTAAATGAGTTAATGTGAACACTATGTATTTTCCAAGTCTCACCAGGACATTAGACAGAAGATAGAGTCTATATTTAGATGTGTTTCCAAAAAGGGACTGAACCCTTAAGAACACAGGAGTTCCTGTTCTGCATGACTTTACTGTTTGACGAATCCAAACTAACCAAAGTCATACACTTACACAAACTAACTCACCCTACTTACTACTCAAGTGTGCTACAGGAATCATTGATTTTCAGAAAGGCTTGAAAACATGTGACACTGCCACACCACAGAGAGGGTATGGTGTGTGATGTAATTGGATGAGGTCAACGCCATAACAGGCAGACTAGCAGCAAGTGTACAGATGGTGACGTGGTCTCCCCATGGTGGTGGTTAAAGTGTGTGTAGTGACGGCTGTGTTCTGTCCCTCAGGTCACCACTCTGCACCGGGGGCTGGACCGCTGTGCTGCCTTGCTCGGGGGCATGCTTCAGGCTGAGAAGGCAGGTCAGAAGGGTTTCCTTACAATGCTTTGTTACAAGATATGCTCAAACTATCACTTTATTATTTGATCAACATGTATTTTTAAAGCAAGAGACCAACCGTCCTCTGGTTGCAGCTTCGAACCTGTCTGTCATAATGAGGTACACACTGTCTGTCTGTGTGTGTGTTCCTGTATTTGTGTGGTCTGTGTGTGTAGAACCCTTGCCAGGCCTTCCTAAAGGAGTAAAGCTTGGAGCAGCTAAATCAAGACCCTCCACCTCACGAAGGAAGAAGACCATTGGGAACACAGGTGTGTGTGAGTTCACTTTATCTGACATTGTTAGAAGGCACTGTGAGCGTCAGACTCAGCAGCACAGCGCCCTCTGCTGGTGAGCTGAACACAGAACACAATATAAATACACTAAAACATAAACTATAATATCAAATGATAGGTTCAGATATCCAGCAGCAGGACATAAAATCATTCAAACTAGCTCCACCTTTACCAGCTGTGATAAGTACATTAATGCATCAATAGTAATTATTAAATAAATTCATATATATGATTGTAAAATGGGACATTACACACAATTAGTACTTTTACGTTTGGTACTTTAAGTATATTTTGATGCGAATACTTTTGGACTAAAGTAGGCATGACTTTTACTTGCAACACATATTTCAATTTTGTACTTAAATAAAATATCCGAGTACTTCTTCTACCTCTGTACTTATTAAACTGGTAAAACTCTTTCTTAGAAGTGCTGAAGCATTAAATGCATACATTATTGTGTAAAGTATACACTAATAAAGACAGCCACAGGAGCCTCATGTGAGCTTCATAGTTATTATGCAACATTTTCAAAGGAGTCTCAATGAAGGGATGAGAGATGTATTATGACCTCTTTACCTGAGATGTCCCCATGATGTCAAACTGAACGGAGCAGACTGTCCCACTTTGACACACGCTCCATTAGCGATAGCAGTGAGTCTATGAATTTCAATGAATGATTGATTGGTTGATTGACATTCTTAATTCTGCTCCATATTCCCCTTATCTCTACTTCCAGAACAGAGAGGACCAGCTGCTGCTGCCGTCCCACCACAGAAGCTCCGCCCCCCTCAGAAACAAGCCCCCACCCTGCAACTACGCCCTCCCACCCCTCTAATTCAGACCCAGACCTCCACCCCTCCACCCCAGACCTCCATCCCCCCACCTCAGCCCCAGCCCTCCGTTCCTCCACCCCAGCCCCAGCCCTCCGTTCCTCCACCTCCGCCCCAGACCTCCATCCCCCCACCTCAGCCCCCCACCCCTCCACCCCCGCCCCAGACCTCCGTCCCCCCACCTCAGTCTGACCCTCAGGCTGCTTCTGAAGCTCCGCCCACATCCTGTCTGTCAGATTGTGATGTAGAAGAGGAGGAGTGTGTACCTGTGAGAGACACGGACACACACGCGGCTGTCAGACAAACACACACCTGCAGCGCCGTGATGCCAAACACGCAGATGGAGACGGGACACGTTGCTATGGTTACTGAGGACACGCGCGTCGGGGAGAGAAAGATGGTGCAGAATCTGCTGGAGGAGCTGAAGGCTCTGATCACAGGACAAGGTGTGTGTCTGTCTGACAGTTTGACAGTTTCTGGTCATGACACATGTAATTCAATATTGTGTGTGTGTGTGTGTGTGTGTGTGTGTAGGTAGTGCAGCAGAGAGGCTGCTCAGTCATCTGGAGCAGAGCCTGTCCTCCCAGCTGATGGATGTTGGGGGTCCCGTGCAGACTGCAGTGGACCTCTCATCAGCACAGAACCAGAACGGTCAGCTCCGCAGGTACCCACTGTCTTTTTTTACACAATACCTGACACAAACATGACTTTATGGACAATCACACTTCTAATAAACATGAAGAATAACTCATAAAACAACTTCACTAAGACATTGAGTGTTCCAGGCGTGTCAGGATTCTGAACCAGCAGCTGAAGGAGAGGGAGAAGGCAGCGTTACACAGCATGGAGCCCCTCAATAACTCTGCAGGTAAAGTGTGTGAGTGTGTGTGTGTTTGTGTGTGTTGAGTTGCCCTCTGGTTGACCCCTGCTCCTCTCCACAGTGTGTTCTCTGCAGGAGCAGCTGGACGGCGCTCAGTCCCGGCTGCAGGAGCTGCAGGAGGAGCTGACGGGAGTGCGGAAAGACCTGAGGGACACCCAGAGCCAGCTGAGGGACAGAGAGGACGAGAACTCACTCCTAACAGCAGGTGGAGACGTGTGCTCTGAGCTGAGGACTGGAGAGAGAACCTAAATCACTCTGAAGCTCTGTGTCCTGTTGTGAATGTCTTGTTTAAGGCTTGTGAGACATTAACATCAGTAAAACACCTCTTTTCCACTGGTAGAAAACTTGTTATCTCTCCCGTGTGCTGCAGACAAATGAAGACACACATGTAATAATGGGGCTCTACAAGCAATGACAGTTATAATTGATATTCACTTAAGATTTAATATAAAAAGACCAAGTCATTTAATCCAATACTTTTTTTTTTATGTTGTGTGTGTTTAGACTTGGAGGCCACTAGAAGCAGGTTGTGGGACAGTGAGCGAGAGAAGACTGAGTACTCTTCACTCGCCCAGCAACGACTGGAAGAGAGAGAAAACTGTAATAGGTGTGTGTGTGTGTGTGTGTGTGTGTGTATAAAGAGTGAGTGAGGGTATAATTTCCTCTGTCTTTTTCAGGGTTCTTCAGACTCTGGAGTCGACCAAAGCCTGTTTCCTCCCACAGCAGCAGAGACAGCAGCCCCCCCCTGAACGCATCACACACTTCCTGCTGTCCCTGGGTCAGCCTGTGTCTGCAGAGAGAGGGGACAACTCAGTCCCACTGAGAGACACTTCATCACATCCTGACGTCACCCTGACCGACCAATCACTTTCTCCACATGAGGTCCAGGCGGGGGGGTGGGGGCTCCTGTCCCACGCAGACGGCTCCGTGTGTTCTGATCTGAGCAGCAGCTCCGGCTCCACCCTGGACAGCAGGGCGGAGGCTGCGTTCAGGGACGGGCTGGCAGCGCTGGACGCCAGCATCGCCAGCCTGCAGAGGATCTTTCAGCTGGACCTGGGGGGGGCGAGGTGATGCACACTCGGCTCTAAATAACTTCTAACTCTATATTATTGTGCATTTTTTAATATTTATAATAAATGATGTTTCAGATTTGAAGTAAAGCGTGTTTCATTAGTTTCCTGGATTTGATTTCCTTCCTTGTTATGGAGACAGGACAGGCAGCTCTGTTTGTTCCTGGAGTTCTTAAAGCACCTCTTGTCTTCATTCAAAAGTTTCTTAAAGGGACAGTTCACCCTAAAATCAGTAGTGCGGTTTATCGATACAGTTAGTGAGTTGCCAAGTGTTGGCCGTAGAAATGTCGGCTTGTGGTGTTCAAAGCGGCAGAAAAACACATGTTGAAAAAACAGCAAAGTCTCTTCCCAGAAATAATGACCTAGTTACTGAAGATGACATTTTATTCCTATCAAACTGCACCTGCAGGAGATGTTCATGGCTGTTTCCTTAGGCGCAGTGATACGGTTGGTGAGTAGAAAAAAAGTAGTTCCACATGAAACTACTCTGTGGAGTATTTTCAGAGACAGTGCTGTTGGAGTTTTTTTAAATATCGTTTTTATTTTTACTTTGAGCACCAAGATTTTAGATTTTTCGGGGTGAACTCTGCCTTTAATGTCGCTGTTTATCTGAAATCTATTTAAGCACCTGGCTGCCAACTTCCTCTCAATATTAGAAATGTCACTATTTGGTTTTGATACATCTTCATTCTGTGGTTTTGTATGATATCACTGAAAGGAAACTTGGTACATTTCTAATTCAATCATTTCAATTATTTGTTGGTTACTAATGTGTTAATTGAACTCAACAGCTCAATTTAATAATCACCAAAATATCAAGGTTTTCCCATTCCATGAAAACACACCTGAGGAGAACCCCTCACAACATTAACACACTCACACACACCTTGAACCTTTTTTATGAAACTGCAAAACGTGTTTTAATAGCAAAAGAGGCCAAACCAGTACAAGTATAAAACAGTTTACAAAAAGACGCAGCATGTTACAATTAATCCCAAAAAATCCCTAATACTACAAGCGCTATAAAATGACACATTCATCTGCTCTAAAACATAAATAACAAATGATTTTTAAATATTCCCTTTGGTAGAGTGCAGGTGATGCTCGCTGCTGGAGGACCCCCCCCCCCCCACGCATTAACACATAGTCCCTTAAAGCCCTTGGTAGTGCAGGAGCAGAGACACATTTGAGACGGAATAAAACAGCTTCAGGTCAGTTCATTCAGAGAAACTAGCCTTACAGCAGCTCTCAGCATTATTACATTATAGGAGCTGGAAACAAAGGCATCATGGTCTATTCAAATAAACTGGGGCAGTGGATGTTTCTGTTAGCACCATCACACCTTCATTTTACAGAAACAGCGTGTGCCTAGAAAACACTGCAGCCTGGAGCAGGGACACACTGCCAGAATGTTCCTCATGTATTAGCCGTGCACAGGGACACCGATAGTGCTGATAATGCTTTTAAAAGTGGATACAAGTATTGGCACATAAACTCCTTTTGACGTTTGGGAAAAAAACATGTTAGCCGCTCAAAAACCCAAGATGGCCACCAACAAGGGCTTGGAAATGTAATTATTTGCTCAAAATCACTTTCACTAGCCCTATTTAAATGATCTCGGTGTCAACTCATACATTTTCCACCACGTAGAAACCAAATTCAGACGACAGGATTCACTCAGAAGCTTGTGTTTGATTATATCTGAGCTATCAAATCTAAATAATCTGCCAATGGAAAACTGGGTAGCCTAACATACATCTGAATTCTTTCTAATAAGCTCCACATTTTAACATTTTGTGTTTAAAATGACACAAAAAAGCTCTGAAGAAGTTTCTAGAGAGTGCATTTGACTGCAATTCAATACCAAAATCACCTAAATTGATCCAGCGGTAAAATACTTTTTCCTCGGCTGGAAATGACAGCCATCTTGGAATGGCCCCAGAGGGATAGACATGGACATTTTGGTGCTTGTTTCATTTCAAACCTTTATTTAACCAGATGGTCCCATTGAGATCATAGATCTCTTTTTCAAGGGAGACCTGTATCCACTTTTGAAAGATTGTTATATCTATCTGCAGCACTAAGAGAGGAGTAAACCCTAAAGGACTAACACCTGGATGTTTGAGTGTGATGTCAACTGGCTATCTGTCCTATGATGACTATATCAAAACTACAATATGTAAATGTCCCAGCTGTTGATGAAGACCATGTGAGGCAGTTGACAGGAAGTGGTAGTAACAGAAACTGCAGGTGAACGGGTGCTTGGTGTCTGTAGTGACTGGCCGTGTGATCACGTGTGCCAGTTAAGCTTATTGAAGAGCAGCCCCCCCCCTCTATGAGTGTGGGTGGAGGTGTCCCACTGCCTGCCTGTATCTGAGCTCCTGGGAGCTGTCACTCAGCTCCTCCGCCGTGTCTCCAAAGCCGTGGTAGTGTCCGTAGTGCAGGAAGTCCCTGGAGTCGGCCCCCCTCAGCCCCCCCCAGGCCGGCCGGTGGGACACGCAGCTGCTGGGGGAGCCACTCAGGTGCAGCGAGCCACACATGTCTGCGGAGGAGTGCTGAGTGGGCGCTGATGCTGCGTGCTGATTGGCTGAGGAGGCCGGCTGCTGCTCAGCGGGGGGCAGAGGGAGGGGACGGCTGCTGGGGGCTGGGGGGTGTTCATCTGCCGCTGAAACACAAAATCTGGTCATTAGATGTTATATATAATGTATGTTTCGGACATTTAATACACCAAACCCTTCATGGAATAATCTAGAAAAGTATTGGCAGACGAATGGATAATGAAAGTTATAGGAAGTAGCAACTCTGTTTATTATGATGTCAACTGTGCAGCATCCTCTATAATCAGAAAACAGCTGTAGTCCCACCTGAGAGGAGCTCCGGGGCGGACTCCATGGTAACGCTCTCCAGATCCTCACCTCCAACCGGCATCTGCACCAGCACTGCAACAGGAGACACACAGGAAGTGACATCACACAGCTGTTCACAGTGAGTATCCTGAATCACACTGGGATGTGAGTGTGTTTTTGAGGCTGGCTGGTGTGTTTTTTTTATTGCAAACTCCTGAAAAGGCCTTCCAGGATGTGTATTTTGTAAATTGTATTTTATCTTTAATATTTGTTTATGCATGCTTCTTAGTTAACATTAAGCTGTATTTGGCTCTTTTCTGCTAAAACAAATGTAAATTGCCCGTCTGTGGGACGGATAAAGGTATTCTGATTCTGAACCTTCCAGATGTGGAATGTATTTTCTCTGAGTGATGGGGTCCTACACAAACCCCCCACCTGAGGTTCATATTCCTCATGCCTTGAAATGTCATATACCCTGTGTACCAATGTGTGAGAATATGAGAATCATACCGTGATGACGGTTGCTGAGTTTTTATTTGATACAAAGCAGCCTGTGTAAAATATGCCAAGGCCAAACAGGATATGGAACTTGAAGATTATGGTCTGTGGCCCCCAGCCTTGTTATTCAGTTCCCTGTCTGTTATCGCTCTGGAACGTGTGCAGACATTGGCGTGCTCTTGCTAATATGTTCAGTTTTTTGGTGCATTAAAACATGAATCATGTCTTACTGTCCCCCCGGGCTTTCTTTAGGTCCCTGCTGTCCCCGGCTGTCAGCAGCCTCTTCCTGCTAAGCAGGCCCGGACCACAGGGGGGGCTTTCTCCATTCGGCCCCCCCCTCACGTGCAGCTGCAGCAGCTTCTTAGTCTTGGAGAGGAAGCAGAAAGAGTCGAGGAAGCCGTGAGCGTGGGCCAGGTCTGCTGCTGTCTGCCCACTGGCATTCCTTAACCTGAACAGGAAGAGGAAGTGAGACAAACTGCTTCCTGTCGGCCATCTTTAACACTCTGCACAGATCACATGAAGACTGGAGGTCAGAGGTTCTTATAGAGCAGGGAGACAGCTGACAGCATGTCAACATCTCCCCCTGTAACACACTCATTAGGAATACATGACTAAAATAATAAATCACAGAATTAATAGAATATTATAATTTATATATATATAATGATTAAATGTTACTGGTTGGCTGCTATATCTCACTTCTTATAGAATGTGGCTTACTTCTACATTAAACAGTTTACAAGACAAGATTACAACTTATTTTACAGTATCTTAGGAAGGCCAGTATTTTTATAATAGGTTAATAAAAAAATGTTAGTTCATTTTTTTTGGTAAACTTTTTTTTTTACTGGGGGGGATATACTAGATTCAGAATGTCGACAATGTTTTTCCTTCACTTTCTCAAAAAAACAATATACATATACAATATGAATTATGAAACACTAATAATATTCTAACAATATTAATATAATTTTCTTTTCTATACAAACATTTTTATATATTTAGTTGCTTTTGGATTAAAGGCATATGTTAAGAAATAGTTGTATTTTTACTGTACGTAATGAGTATTTTGAACAATGCACATGTCTCCCCCCCCCCGAGGCTGGGCTTCCTACACTCCCTCCCTCTGTGTGAGCAGAGTAAGCATGCAGGTCAGGACATGACTATGATTCAACCAATCACTGCAGGAAGTACCTGGCCAGAGTGCGGCTGCAGAGAGTGTAGAGCGGACATGTGGTCCTGCTGAGATTATTGCGATTGCTGCCTCTTTTCGGGGATTACTCAAGAAAGTTCAAATTCAATAGCTGTAAAACATCAGAACGTGCAGGGTGTTTGCAGTTTGAAAAAGGGAAGCCAAAGGTACATCTTAATCATCATTTTAATAAGTAACATGTCAGGACACATCAAACAGATTCAAGCAACAGGTTCGACACGCTCCGCCCTCTTCACTGATGAGGCAGAAAAGCTAATTGACCAGATCAACTTAATCATTAGACTACTGTGGAAGTAAGAACTCACATTTCTTGTTGTACAAAGCTGAACTGATCTCATTCTCACCCTCTCAGTTTTTTGTGATGTGTGTTTAAGGATGAGAATGATTCAGATTTTATACTTTTATTATACAATTATAGATATGTTCATATTTGTCTCTAAGTGGAAACACTGCCTTTGCCTCAGTGTGTCATGAGATGTTCTGCTTTGGCTCACGTTCTCTACATCATCACATGACATATGAGATGTTAACATCCACTTTGAGCTGTTCTGGAAGGGAAGGGCCAATAACACATCTGGATAGATATTTCTACTCTTCAGATCCTGCTTTGTGGGCAGAGATCAACAATTGAAACATTTTTTTTTCAGCAGGCGATAACACCAAGCACTTTTCAGAACTTTCCCGGTTGAAGATGGTCTAATTTAGATATGTTATTATAAGTTAACTCTCATTCAGAATAGTGACTTCTCTGTGAAATCTTGGGCCAGTCTTATGGAGTGATAACTAAAGCTGTGTCTTGTTTCTCTTATGATTGACAGCTTTAGTCAGCCATACTGGAGGAGTGTGTGCTCCACTGTACTCCAGTTGTAAGGAAACACCAAGAGACTGAACATGTTGATCCATTAAGGAAGCAAGTGACCACAGCCCACACCTGCTTTTTGACTTTTGAAAGAAATCCACATTTGAGTATACACTCTGTGGGTATAGGATTCACCAAAGGCTTAAAGTGTAATGGTTACATGAATAAGTTTACAAATAGAATTGATGACGATAGAAGTAAACCAGTGTGGCCAGTTCCCTCCCAAACAGCTAATGTGAAGTTAGCATTATGCTTACATAGGAACTGTTACACCCCAGCACCTGAGCAGAGGTCACACAATACTCACTGTGCTTTAGCCCCCGCTACCAGCAGCACCTGGATACACTCCACACTACCTGAGCGAGCCGCCTTGTGGATGGGAGCCTCACCTACGAGATCCTGAAGACACAGGGAAGGTGCGCTCATAAGAGGTAACATAACAAACACATTATGGGAATAACTGTAGCAGGCACAACAGTACACTATAGACATGTTGGAAAGGCAAGGCACGTTTATTTATATAGCACCTTTCAACACAAGGCAATTCAAAGTGCTTTACACAAAGGAAAGACATTAAGAAACATATTATAAAATGGCATTTAAAAACCCTCCTAGACATTCATGTGGCTTGCTAGTTTTGGACCCCATCTGTAGTCAAAAAGTCGCCACTTAAGGTCCTTTCAGTATTTCTACTAATCACTTAAGCATACAATAGTAACTTTTGACTTTCTGTTTGATAGGAACGTCCTCCTACCTAAGGTTAGTTTACGGGCACAACCTCACAAAACCCGAAAATGCTGTTGCCATTTATGGTGGTATTATATATCTGGTCTTATTTTCATATACTGTTGGTGCTGACTGACCTGCATGTTGACGTCAGCTCCGGCCTGAGTCAGCCACAGCAGACAGTGGGGGTGTCCTCCGAACGCTGCAGTGTGTGTGGGGGTCTGCTGGAAGCGGCTGGTCACTGTGTTCACCTCACAACCCATCTGCACCAGGTGCACCACACACTCAAGCTGAAACACAACACACAGGGCCATAATGAGACTATTGAAATGGGTATGGTGAACATAAAAAAAACCCATCACATATCATGGGGGTAACTGTGAAAGAACAATGGAAGGTACCTGACTGTGTGCAGGTAAAGCAACCCTAACACACAACCAACTGTACTGGCCATGTTCCTCTGCACTCTTCACACCTCAGACACATAGGCTGTTTATTTAAAACTCAGAAATCTGAGAAAAACTGGGTTAAGAAGAACTACAATAATGTAATACATGGTATGCAACTTTGAGTACAAAGAAAGCACTATATATTACATGTATTATTATTATTTTTGACACATGGATGTGTAAGAGAATGACATCAGGAAATATAACTTGTTCTGTTTACCTAGGGCTGTTTTGGCGCCTGATTACCCATTGGCTCGACTGGAACCAATGAAAATGTTTTAAGTTATTTGTTTTGTTTTTTTCCGCCCACGAACTTTATTGTACACGTACAGTGAAACAACTGTATCAGAGGCGGTTTAGAAAAAAAGAAAAAAAAGGCGGCTGCTTCTGGTGCGTCAGGCGTACCTAGTACATTTTATACATAAAATATCCACCTTTAAACACGGTTCATGCTATACCACCCACCGCCCTGTTATGGTTAAAATATTACGAGAAGAAACCGCTATTCAGGTTGACTGCAGTTAACTAAAGTATCTTTAGTACTTTTTAGTATAACTATTAAGTACATGTGTTCACGGAATAGTTTAACTGTAAATGAGAACTACTTATCAATGTGTACATCTTAATGTAGACAGTCATTTAGAGGTAATCCCTACCTGGCCATAGTGAGCAGCCCAGTGTAAGGGGCTCCATCCGTAACACGGGTCCTCAGCCGTCAGTGGAGCCGGGTCTGAGAGCTGCTGGAACAGGGAAACCAAAGCTCCAACGTCTCCATCCCGACAAGCACGGTGGACGGGAAACTGGCTGATAAAGCCTTCTTCATTGGAGAAGTCGGCTTGTAGTCCCCCAGACATTGGTGAAGTATAAAAGTGTCTTGTTCCCAAGTGTTCCCCGTCCCTCAGAGCAGACTAAAGAGGTTGAAACACAAAGAAAGAGGAGATAACGTTAAGCTGCTCTTCGGGGATGGGGAGCCACAAAACCCGGACTGGAGTCTGACAGTGTGACGGAGAATACGGAGGCATCTGATGGAAAAGTGAACAGCAGAAGTAAAAGAAGAAAACACCAACCACAAGATGGCGTCATCATTGGGCGGGAAATCTCTGAGTCATGGCGCAAAGAAAAATTCGAGGAAACAGGTATATCACTTAATTATAGAAACACTGTTCAATCTAGGGTTGGCCTTTCCATTCCACACTGCTGCCAAAAATCAATGCAATTCAATATTTTCTCCACTACAACACACACCCCAGGCTATGGTCCATCTTTCTGAATCAATGAGTGACTTTGAACCTTTGAGAGGCACTTGATGAAAGCTGTTAAACTGAGTAACCAATTAACCAGTGGGGTATCGTAACGTAACGTACATTTACTCAAGTACTGTACCTAAGGGGGAAAATGGAGGTAGCCTACTTGTACTTTACTTGAGTATTTTCAGTGTTGAGTGATATGCTTTTACTCCAACACGTTTTGTTGGCAAATGTTATACTTAATTTACTACATTCATATTAACATAACAGAAGATTTAGGTTAATAAACAATATAAATCAACACACATACATTTTCACATTTTATTATAGGTTAAGCTACCCAGTAGTGTATTAAGTAATAATCCCAACTTTAACAAGAGCATCACTTACATAGCCTATTGCACAATTAATTGTAATAAAATAATTACAAATATATATATATTTGGTGCTTAAATATGCCTTTCTGCATAAGGATTACTTTTACTTTTGGTACTTAAAGTATATTTTGATGCTTATACTTTTGTACCCTTACAATTGTACCGTCAATTTTGAATGCAACACTTTTACTTGTAACTATTTCATTACTGTAGTATTGCTACTTTTACTTAAGTAAATAACCTGAGTACCTTCCACCTCTGCAATTAACCAATTAAACTGGTCATTTTTGGGTCTGCATTTTATCTTGTAGTTATTGCTTTACTCAAAAACGTTTCTTATATCTTATCATTATTTGTAAAAATGACTGCTGAACGATTAAATATATGAATAAATGAGAAGGAAGTAAAACTGCTAACTGTAGTCCAGACCGTTCTTAAATTATCTCCTGTTATGAATGACTCGCTATACAGATGATATGATGCTACCTCTGTGTTTTGTGCAGATTAGTTTTATATGGGTCATACTATCTGAAACTCTTTTTTGAAGCATGCATTGAGCTTTATCTTTTTGTTTCAGGATGGTTTTGTCAGAGTGAGGAAAAGTGATTTAGAGAAGTTAACCACAGAAGTGATGCAGCTGAGGGAGTTCCTGCCCAGAGTTCTGAACAGGGACCTGATTGAGATGCTGCATAAAGCTCGAACAGTTCAAACAAGTACGTAACAAACACAACGCATGGTTTGGAAATTGTGTAAAACATTTAGGAGAATGTAATAACACAACTCAACAAATAACATAAGTCTTGTGTTTAAGAAATACACTTTTACTACAGAACTGAGTAGGGTGAGGAACTAAATAAATTAAATAAGTCAAATGAACAGTAACATATCTACTGTTCATAGATTGCATTAGGCATAAAACACCATTTGCATGTGGGGGAAAATGTTTTTAGTTTTTTGCAGGTACTAAGTGAACTCAGTGTGGACACCTCCGCTTGGTTTGTAAATTACTCTTAGACCAAAAACTCCAAGGATAGCCATTACACAACATTAAAAAAAATATTTCATAAAGTAGCTGTACCTCTCTTTAAAATTTAGCAGAGGTTTAGGGTAATTAAGGACATTTACTCATACTGTACTTAAGTACAATTTTGAGGTACTTATACTTTACTTTCAGCAGTAAATTGGTACTTTTACTCCACTACATTTATTTAATACCTTTAGTTACTTTTTGTTTGGTTTGTTAATTGTAAAAAAAAAAAAAAGGTTGTTCTGAGGCATCTAAAAAATGTACACATTTGGTCTCAAAAGTAGAATTGGTGTGATTTGTACCTGTCATGTGAATAATGAACAGCACTAACAATAAACTATTAGAAGCAATCGGCAACATGAAATGTAATACTGGTGACATTTGTAGAATGATTTTATTGGCAACTGTTACCAGAAGTTCCTGTTCTGTAAGAACTGTTTTGAATAAATTGACTTGAAGTCAGTCTGTGTATCTTTCCATCCACAGTGAGTCATTTTGGAATTTAGTATGTTTTAGGAATGCAGCAGCCGAACTTCAGGGAACTTCTTCATTTCCTTTTTATACAGAAATGTATTTATATATTTGGAATGGATACATATTCTTACTCCTCATTAAAAATGTAAGTATATCACTGTGAGTCCCTGTTGATTCCAGACTATCCTCCTTCAAAAACATTTTTGAAAGAAAACTTAATATTTGTTTTCAAAGTGTGGTTTTATTTCTGTACCCACCTAGCACTACTGTCAAATGAACAGTATATTTAGGTTATGTAATGAGAGTATTATTTTAGTACTAGTAGCATGTTGTCATGTTTGTGCTTTGTGCTTTGTGCTTTGTGCTTTGTGCTTTGTGTGTGTGTGTGTGTGTGTGTGTGTGTGTGTGTGTGTGTGTGTGTGTGTGTGTGTGTGTGTGTGTGTGTGTGTGTGTGTGTGTGTGTGTGTGTGTGTGTGTGTGTGTGTGTGTGTGTGTGTGTGTGTGTGTGTGTGTGTGTGTGTGTGTGTAGTGAAGGAGCACCTTGTGCAGGAGCAGGACCAGCTGCAGCAGGACTGTGTGCACCTTCAGGCCCGGTTGGAGGCAGGGCAGACTGAATGTCAGAAAGAGAGAGAGGTGGGGGGGGCAGGCACTGTGATGTTGTTGTCACACGGATTCAATACTTTACACAACAGTCAGATCAATGAGTGGACTTTAAAGGGTTGTTGTGTGTGTGTGTGTGTGTGTGTGTGTGTGTGTGTGTGTGTGTGTGTGTGTGTGTGTGTGTGTGTGTGTGTGTGTGTGTGTGTGTGTGTGTGTGTGTGTGTGTGTGTGTGTGTGTGTGTGTGTGTGTGCGTGCAGGAGAAGCTGCTGTTGAGGGAGCAGCTGTGGCAGGGTGGAGCAGAGCTGCAGCAGCAGGCAGACTTCTGCTCTGCTCTGGGATCAGCAGCCTGCAGTCTGCTGTGGAGCTGCTCATCCAGAGAGGACACGGTCACACGCTGGCTGGCTGATGTGAGTCCTCTGCACTGTGTGTGTGTGTGTGTGTGTGTGTTGTACTCATCCCAATGACAAACACTCTCAGGGTTCCAAATTAAACAGTGACATCAGTTGACAGCCCCTAATGTGTTGTTTGTGTGTGTGTCTGTGTGTGTGTAGAGGAAGCTGCAGTCCTTCCTGGCTGTAGCTGCTCAGACTCTGGAGAGCTTCGTCAGGTCTCTTGACGAGGAGGAGAAAACTCAGACTGAGGACCACAACTCCCATGAGCACCAGTTTGTGCTGGCTCTGGCTGGAACTATTACTAGTGAGTTCACAGATTCTTTAATGCAACGTGAGCATACTCACACTGAGGACAGACACAAGGCCGGGCTCAAGTTTTCTGAGCATTAAACTTTCAAGAATACATTTTGCTGATGTGGTTGCATAGTAACAGACAGCTGGTAATTGCCTAAATGACCAATTTCCATTCATGTTCCCCAGCTAGTTGTCCCTCCAAGATTAATAACGTTTTTTTTATATATATAAAGGAACTAAATTGGAATTCTAGAGTTGACCCAGCGTCTTTGTGTGCTGTAAAGTAAGGCAAGCACAGTCTTTTAATTATTAGATTTTTAATTGAATCATTCATTCAGGTATACACACTTTACAGCACATTAATGATAATCAAAGAACAAAAACTCTGCAAAACGCCATAAATGATAATAAAATACGCATTTTCAAATAAGCTTGGTTGACTTTGGACATGGGATTTATGTCAATTTACACAGCATTGTGTCGTTTTTTATTTATTTATTATTATGTCAATGAAAATGAGAATATACAATTAGAGAGCGTTACAATTTCAACTTGTTTTGCCCCTGTCTGTCATGTCTGTGCATGATGACACACCGTTAAAGTTTTATATCTAGAATCACTTTAAATAGTTTTTTATAGTGTATTCTATATTTTATAGCACTGAAGCTTCTTCTCCTTCTGTCTGAAGGTCATATCTGAACCTTTTAATTTCTTAACCTTGTTTCCATATTTAATGAAATGTGTGGATGACTTAAAGACATTCATGTCAGTTGTGAAATTCCTCCTGCAGGACCTGAATGCAACATGAAGCAAACTGTTGTATTGTCTCACAGCCACTCCAGACTATGCACCCCCTCAATGACTTGTCTTATCTTATCAGACATCGCAGCAGTGACGTGTGGGCGGGACTTCCTTTCCACCTCGGCTCAGGACCTGCTGGACACTCTGATGAAGATGCTGGAGCTGATGAAGCCCGGGGTCTTCCCCAAACTCAAAGTGTACGTGGAGCTGTTGTGGAAAGCTTCACACACATCCACCTGTAGCTTCACTGTTCTTCTCCATATATCATGTACACTAGTATCCATACACTTATAAAACCAACTGTTAAACAGTTGGTTATACACATCACACTCCATTTCCAATCGTCTTTAATACGACTCCTGCATTAATGTGGACATGGACTGAAATGGAGAAATGTAGGATTCATACATTAAAGGGGACCTATCATGCAAAATGCACTTTTTGATGTCTTTTATACATCACTATGTGTCCCCGGTGCGTCGGGGAACTCACGCAGCGTCAGAAAATAAAACCCTTTCTCTTTTCCTCCGTACCCAAATCTTTTAAAAAACGGGGGTACAACGAGCGGATACAGATTTGCTGCCGATATGACGTCAAATATATTTATATATAAGAGATCCGTGTACAGATATATAACATATAATTACCAGCACATTTATCCGTACAACTATATTATTAATACTCATTTTAACTCAAAAACATTTTACATTCTAAAATTCAGTGTTAAAAATGTGTTTGTACAGCATGTTGGTGTGTGATGTGTGCAGCAGTAGGTGTCAGTGCTGTGCTGCGCTGCTCACACTGTGTGTGTGTGTGTGTGTCTGTCTGTCTGTGTGTCTGCAGGCTGATGCTGATGGCGCTGTATAATGTCAGCATCAGTGTGAGGGGATTGAAGTGCATCAGTGAGAACTCTGGACTCCTGCCGCTCATCTGCACCCTGCTGGACGGTGAGGAGAACTGCTACAGAGTGCAACACACACAAACACACACACACACACACACACACACACACACACACACACACACACACACACACACACACACACACACACACAGACACAGACACAGAAACCTTATGTGTAGTCCAGGGGTGTCCGAACTGTTTTCACTGAGGGCCCAATACAGATATATAGTGTTAAGTTATAAGTTAGCAAAATCAATCATGTATGCTGTTGAGGTCTCCATATTAAGTTGAATAATTAAAACGATAATATATTATAATCAATAATAATCAAATATAATCAAATATATTCCAGTTGAAGTTAGAATTTAATGTAAGAAATGTAAAACTGTGAATTGAGGTTTTATATTAGAAAAGTACCACAGCATGATATATTTTGTATGATTGTACGAGAGAAGCTAAAAACCCTGTAAAAGTGTGGACCATTTTCTTTAAATAAAATCATCCCACCTTTTTGGATTGGGACAACTTAAAATAAATCTGCGCTCTCCTCTCCTGCTTAAAGGTAAGATTGCACAACTGCCACACTCACCCTTAGGCAGGGCCACACCTCATTACTGATACCAGAATCCTTCGGGATCGCTTAAACAGATTTAGCGGGTCGTCTGAATTGAAACAGCAGTTCATTGAACCTGGTTCTTCAGGAGTTAATAGAGGTTAATAGAGAAGATCTTGCTGATCCAGGTGGATCTGAGCCAAGCAGTACACTTACATAGACTCAATAGCTTCTGTTAGGTCAATTAGTAGGTCTGAGTAATTGCCGGAATAAATTAACAGGCCTCCTGACTCCAACAATGCGTTAAGAAAAAAAACGGCTACATCCCAGCTCTCCATAGGGTTTCATTTGCTACTGTTACATGAAGTGTTGCAGCTCATTCCTTAAAATAAAAGCCTTAGATTGCTTATAATAAGGGGAAATATGAAGGGTGTATTTCTAGCTTGTTATGTAAATACGTGACTTTTTTATCATCTAAGATTTGTTAGAAAATGTTTTCAACTGTAATTGGCTGAATTTATTTGAAAAGTGGGCTTATTAACACATGAATACTACTGGGTTATATATGTTTACACATATTTAAGAAGTACAATATAAGAAGAGCACACGTTTCAGGTGTGGTCATCTGCACAACATTTATCCTATGTATAGCCATTTAAAGTAAAATGTTACATATGAATAAGCCTTTAATAAAGCACGCAGTTGTATAAATGCAGCCTCTGATGTGTGTGTGACAGACGGAGACTGGGAGGTGTGCCTCCACTCTGTGCGGCTCCTGCAGTCGGTGCTGCTGGAGGAGGAAGTGCTTCTCCTTCTGGGCCCCCCCCTGCTGGACCCCCGGCTGCAGGCTGCTGTGAGCCGGCTGACCTCCAGCCTGCAGCCGGGCCTCAGACTGGCCGCCCAGCAGACCCTGGAGGACCTGCAGACCCTCCAACAGGTGCCACTCACTGCACAGCACATTCAACACGTGTGTGGGGGGTTTACATCATGTTACAATAGTAGAAATGGCTTATTTTAAATGTGGACATGATAAACTGAAGAGTGTGTGTTTCCAGAGTCGGGGAGGTAAGCAGAGCAGTATCTTCAGTCCTCCTGCTGTCTGACTGCCCTTCGTCTCACACTATATCTGTCTGTCTGTGCAAATTCAGGTTTTTATTGTATAATCATTATTTAAGTATATTTTACTTGCACTGTTCTCGTTAATCTTTCCGTTTTGATCATTATTGTGTCTTTGTTGGTTGTTACCTGTTTAATATTTGTTAAGGTTGAGACATTAAATGTTCACACTTTCAGAGCACTGTCTCTCTTTTCATTCCAACTAACTTAAGGTAAATGAATGTAACACCCAAGCAAGACACATTGACACAATGTAAGAGTAAAGGCAGTTTCCACAGACCTGGTGAGAGACGCAGCTTCAAAGGCTTTGACACACTCACAGACACTAATAACCTAGTTATTGATGGAGCTGTTAACATGAAGAATACAGCCACACAGGTTACCTTTGTGAAGTATACAGCTTTATTGTATGTTTCTTTAGTATGGACTTCTCAGTAATGAGCAGGTATCCATTGAACAATGCAAGACTACAGTACAGGATATATTTAAGACAAAAGAGGGGGGGGGGGTTCTAACAGTCAGCACAAGAAGGGAACAGCCAGGGCTTACTGATGCAAACTCTGGGACCAGATGTGTGACATGTACCCCCCTCCCCCCAACTCTAGCCCCCCCAGCACATAAGCACCCTTATGGGGAGGTTTTTGTAAAGCTCTAAACGATAATACTAAATATACTGGGCGAAAGCGCCAAGAAGAGTCAACAGAGGAGAGAGTGAAGCGACAGGTATCCTCTGAGGGAGGGGGGGCAGAAGAAGAGAGGGGGTTCTGTGGATGCAGGGTATGGCCCCCCCTACTCGTCATCTAGGAGGACACAGCAGAGTTGGTCTTCTCGTCGCGGGTGACAGGGATGCTGCGCTCGCTGCGGCCGGATTCGCTCCCCCCGTTGACCTTTGGCCCGCTCAGGGTCAGCAGCCCGTCAGCTGACAGGCTACAGCTGATTGCTGATTGGTCCACACTGGAGGGGAGGCGGTAGCGGCGGTGGAACTCACGAGAGATGTAACCGTGGTCATCCTGTAAAACAGAATCATTATTGAGGTTCACTCAAACAATTACATTTCTATCTTACATAACACTATAACACATCTGTTGTAATATCACTTATAAATATATATATAACGCACAGACTGTTTCTACTACGCAGCCCCCTCTGAGAAATATGCTGTTGAAGACCCACCTGTCTCTCTCCATGCTTGCCCTGGATCTCCACGTAGTCCCCGGTCACCTTCACACTGATCTCTTCAGGAGAGAAGTGTTTGACATCCAGGTACAAAGTGTACTTATCCCTGTCAGACCTCACCTGGGGGGGCACAATACACAGACTTCAGAATGTTGCCTAAGTATAAATGGATTTTTAAGAGCGTGCTTTCATCTGTAGAGCCCACTGAGACAAGTTGTATACTGGTAAATTCTATTAAACTAAGCATCTTACTTTTTATGAAAGAACAAAGTGTAAAACTTATTTTAAAGATGATGACATTATCATACATTTCTTGTTCGTGAGTGGATTAATTTAATTCTTCTCTGTATCTGTTCTCCTGAGACCCTCTGACATCAACTAAGTTAGTCTCTACATGTATCCGAGAGGACGAGACAGGAAGGAGACGCTGGTGTTACCTCAGAGGTGCCGGAGTTTGAGGAATCCAAGAAGCTTCGGAACAGGGACTGTCTGTAGTAGGGGCTGATGGTGGAGGTGGTGTAGGGGAAGAAGTCGTAGTCAAACATGCCCTCTCCGAAGAACTGGTCAAAGAGTCTGGCGGGGTAGACGGAGCCCATGGCCCGTCTGAACCAGGGGTGCTGGATGGAAATTTCCATAGTGAATCACACAGCTTGGTGTAGCTCAGATGTTCCTGTTCAGAATCCAGCGGGTGGAGGAGGGGAGTCGAGATGGCGAGAACAGAGTGTGGAGGAGAAGCAGTATGATTCACAGTGCGGCTCTACAGCGGTTTATATACCTGAGAGGCAGAAAGAGAGGCTTTACCCACGATCCCTCTGGAATGGCATTATCTCATGCCCCGTCAGCAGAATTGGGGAGGGGGGGCATTGCTGGGTCCAGACCCTGGTGCAACCCAGTGCCCCTCCACACACCAGACACCCAGGGCTGCCAAAACAAACCCTTCTGGGCAGAGGGGTGGGGAGGATTACACCTGAGTGATGGAGCATCAAGCAGACACACACATCTATTGACATAACACTGTATGGTTCAATAGAGACAAAATGCTGCTTGGATATGGTCAATGGAGACAATAATGTACTCATTACCCATATCTAAAAAATGGGACGTAACTTTAGGGCACAATTTCCTGGAGGGGGAGACACATCAAAAATGCCAGAGCCACATAAGACGTATTTTGAGTGTTGGAGATATGCACACTATTTTTAATACGTTTTGCAAAAGGACAAAAATGTGATGGTGAAGTGAAAACTGTGCCCAGGTCAGAAACATCTCTCCACGGCTGTGAACATGACATCTAATCTTCAAAGCACCTACACAGGCAATATGCTAGCACCACGAAGCTAGTTGCTAAAGAGCCCCGGAACCCTGAGTGCGGTTGACGACAAGAGCATGCGACGATTACCAGCCGAAGCTTGATTTTCATGCACAGGTGTAAACTGGGAGTAAAGTAAACTGGGAGTATCAGGCTCTGCACTCCCTGCTAATTTTTCCTCAAAAACCACACCGACAAGGTATCTACGGAGGGTCTGTATCAGATCCTTGTCATCTCCTGACTGGGGTCCCACAGGGGTCAGTCCTTGGTCCACTTCTTTTTTCTTTGTACACCAATTCACTCTGCTCTGTGATTCGCTCTCATGGCTTCTTCTACCACAACTGATAACCGCACATATCTCAGTGGATGTCTGCGCACCACCTGAAGCTCAATCTACAAATACAGAACTACTCTTCATCCCAGGGAAGGACTCTCCTAACAATGATGTTTCTACCAACATCAGCCCCTCGACTCAGACCTCAAGCCATCTTGGTGTGACTATGGACAACCAACTGTTCTTCACAACCAAAACATCACTGCTACACCCCGCTCCTGCAGAAACACTCTACAACATCGGAAGGAATCGTCCCGTTCTGACCCAGAAGGCGACGCAGGTTCTGGTCCAGGCTCTTTTCATCTCACGCCCTGACTTCTGCAACTCCCTCAAGGGCCATCCAACCTCTGCAGCTTATTCAGAAAGCAGCACCCAGACTGGTCTTCGCCATCCCTAAGTTCTCCCATAATACGCTAGCGGCTGCCAGAATTAGCTGATTTTCCTTTTAAGTATTCTACATGTACTATTAGTTGTACAAACCAAACATTGGGAAGATGCCTCTTTGGACTCTGGGTAAATGTTACAGTCGTTCATTTCTTGCCTTCTTACAGTGCAGACACTTTTTTCAGCTTGCTCTTTGAGCAGCGGCTCGTGGACCTTTATTAATCAGTGGATTTGATATTCTTCAATGACAGACAGAGGGTTTTTGCCATATTTCAACATATTTACGACAACCTCAGTCCTACAGTAGCCTGGCTTTCCAACAGCTAAAGCCTAAACAGCTGTTACTGCGTGCTACTCAGCTAAAGCTAGTTAGAACAGATAAACATTACATGTAGAGGACAACACTTAATGCATCTAACAACAGGCCACAGCTAGTATCTCAGAGTGAACTCTAATGTCATGTCACTTCCCATGCCTGTTGTTTCCCCAGCAGTGGATTCCCGCCACCTGCATTAGTGTAATCCCACAGGGCTTTGGCCAGCAGCACAGAGGCTTAGCCGCTCCATGCACCCCCAGCCAAGAGCAACCGGGCCGGGCCGGGCCGGTTTGGGATGTGTCTGGGTTTGGGGTTACGAGCTGCTGCAGACAGATTGTTGGACTGCAGTCCAGCAGAGTCAGCATTCTGTGTTTTTATCAATGGCACAGACAATGGCTGTGTGCTCCGTGTGTCCACAGTTCTGTAAAGCTGCTTCTGGCTGACAGCCTGCTCATACTCATTCACAGATATGTACTCCTATTAAAAAGCTAACGACTTCATGTGGGAAGGACAATAAGAGAAGGAAAACTTTTTGGGAATATCAGACTTCTTAGACTCCCCCTTGAAGCTTGGTTAGGTAACACTGGAATAAGCAGGTGTGGTTCAAATTCCAAAAGGTATCTAACTGAAGAAAACCTGAAAAAAAAAACAGCAGTGTTGCCAAATCAAAAATATTGCTCGCAAAAGATATTTGAAAAGTGCTATAACTGACACTCTCAGGCCTCCCTCCAAAACCAACAAATGATCATTATGAGCATAAAGATACCGTCCTTGCAGAGAACAAGGACTGTGGATTTGTGATGTGTGTTGCTGTACATTAATAGCAGTGATGTAAAGTAACTGAGTACATTTAATCAAGTACACTACTTAAGTACAATTTTGAGGTACTTGGACTTTACTTGGGTATTTCAATTTTTTGCTACTTTGTACTTCTACTCCACTAAAATTCAGAGGTGACTTTTACTCCATTATATTTCTTTTGTACCTTTAGTTACTTTACAGATCTGAATGAATGATGTGAAATATAACCAAGTGTTAAATCAGACTTTAGTTCCACCTGGAGTACATTCACAAGCTACCCTGCAGTATACAAAGTCATTCAAACTAGCTGTACCTTTACCAGCTTTGAGAACACTTTAATGATCAATCATTATAAAACATATCATATATATTATTCTGAAATAGACCAATCTGCACAATGACTACTTTTACTATTGGTACTTGAAGTATATTTTGATGCCAATACTTTTCTACTTTTACTTGAGTAACATTTTGAATGCAGAGTATTCCTGCACTCTGGTACTTCTACTTTTACTCAAGTACTCGAGTACTTCTTCCACCTCTGATTAATAGCTACAGTATGTTTTAAAAGTTTGTATTTGAAACTTTGATATCCCTGCTCTTAAAGTTCTGCTGCCTCCTGCTGGACTGACATCACACCACACCCTTTAAACTCAAAAGCCTTCCTGACCCAGATACACATCCTAAAAATAAAACTGGGACTACTCTACCAATGAATATCAGCTCTGATGATCACCACTAAAAAGAGAAAATGTTGTATAGGACAAACAGAAAATACGTGTGCATGTCAGTGTGCATGTGTGTTTTCATTGAAGCCAGTGGATGGTATAACA